ACAGTAGTGCGATGGCACGGGAACGGCAGGTTCATCTTTGGCATCAGCCCGCGTAGTAGCACTTGTCTGTTTCTTGTCAACTATTCTTTAATTCTTGCTGTCGTATTGTGAGGCTTCCTGGCTGCTTTATATCTGGATATCTGAAAGAACCTCGATCGTGCGACTAGATGGCCATGCCAGCGTCCGTCTTCATCGATGCCCTTTCTTATATAGCTTTATCTCGTCAAAGGGCGCAAAGCGGTTTGGCTTGTCTGACGTCCACGTCCAGGTCAAGGTCTGGTGCATCAACTCACAGCATACGAGCCTATCCACGGCAATTAGTCAGTAACTCGCTGCACTTCGGCGTTTATGCTTCTTCAGCTCGCATCGCCCTACCTAGTTGAATATGGTGCTGACTTCCTCCGGCCCGGCCCACGCCCTTTCTCGCTTGGTCCGGCTGCTCGGCGGACCTCACGGTCCTGCGGCTGTTTGCTTATCTATAGCGTCACTGTCTGATCCTTTGAGCTTAGAGGGGCTGATAGTCAGCTAACTAGCTAGCTAACTAGTTTAGTGCTTTCGTAAGTCATTGCTTGTGAGGGCGCCGCTGGTGTTGGTGCTGGTGTGGTGTTGGGCCGTTTGGCGGCCGTGCTGGCGTTGACTGGACCTCGGCTGGCTTTCCTAGGTTCAAGCTCCACCGGATCCTCAGGTACTCCCTGCGCGTCGGTCTTGTCGACTTCTCTCCTTGCCTGTGATGATAAGAGGTAGACCTGATACAGCTGTCACCATGGAGGGCAATATGAAGAAGAAGTTCCTGGCCTATCCGGAGCCTAGGAAAGGGTGAGCCTACCGGATATGAGTTTGGAGTGACCGCTGTGCTGACGACGGTGTAGGCCGGATGTCACATACCGCAATGAGAGGAAACAGAATCCCACGATGAGCGGCCTCGTGCTGGTCCTCGCTGCTTTTGTGTAAGCTTTCCCTCGACCATCACTACGAATCTACAGATGCTGACGGGTGTTATAGCTTCGAATGCGTGGGCATGATACGACACCTCATCTGGAAAAACGCTGGATTCTCAAGCCTACGGAAGATCCGGAAGCAGCTGGAAGACTATGAGCCACGAGTCGACCCAACCGTCGTACCTACATCCGAACTCGAAGACGACGAAGAACAACTGGAAGAAGATGGCCAGAAGGTCTTCACCGCTGAACCGCTGCTGGCTTCCACCGCCGTCCCTCCACGAGCCAAATACTACTCGGTCCAGGACTACCACGACATGTACGTCTCGGGGGAATTGACACCGACAGCAGTAGCAAAGGCCATCTTACCACTTATACGTCGAGATACCAAACCGCCAGGAGAGCATTCTGCAGCCTGGTTCGAGACGCGGGTTGACTTGGTTCTTGCCGCGGCTGAGGCCTCGACGCTACGATATAAGCAGGGACGTCCCCTGGGGCTGATGGATGGTATACCCACTGCCGTCAAGGACGAGTATGATATCGACGGGTACAAGACTTGTCTGGGCTCGTTGAACGATTATACCAGTGATCCCGCCTCGTCGGGTGGCTCCATTGCCAGCTGGTGTGTGAGAAAGCTAGAGGAAGCTGGAGCTGTTGTCCTGGGGAAACTCTCCATGCATGAATTCGGTCTGGGTATATACATGTTTTACGGAAAGACGGTAGAAGTTTTCAGGGCTAACTATATATATAGATACCTCTGGCAGTAATCCAAACTACGGTACTCCGCTAAACCCATATAACCCCAAGTACTACACTGGTGGTAGTTCATCTGGCACCGCATACGCAGTCAGTGCCGGACTGCTGCCATTCGCTTTAGGAAGTGATGGCGGCGGCAGCATTCGCATCCCATCCTCTTTCTGCTCCGTCTACGGCCTCAAACCAACCCACAGCAGAATCTCACACCACCCAGGCCCTAACCATTCCAACACCTGTGCCGTCAACGGGCCTCTAGCCGCAGACTTACAGTCGCTCTCTGCACTCTATCGTATCATAGGCTGTCCTCCACCGTCCTCACCGTTCCGGCCAGTCTCTCCAAGACTCACGCCCTGCGACCCCGCGGGTACAAAGTACCTCGGAGTTCCTGAGGCATGGTTCTCCCAAGCAACACCCGCAATCCAAAGCCTCTGTCGCTCTGCCATCTCCGCCCTCGCAGATAAACACAACTATACAGTTGTGCCCATCCAGATTCCCTACCTAGTTGAAGGCCAGATCGCACACGCAGTCACCATCCTCACTGACGCCGCAACCTTACTCCCCGATACTTCAAAACTCACCGCCCCAAACAAGATCCTTCTTGGTCTCGGCCGTGAAACACCTGCTACAGATTACTTACTTGCACAGAAACTACGCCGCCTTCTGATGCAGCACCTCTCCTGGCTATGGAAGGAATACCCAGGCATGATCATCGTCACGCCCACGACCAGCTGCGCAGGATGGCCGATCCGTGACAAGAATGAGCTGAAGTACGGTATCAGCGATGGAGACCAGACGCTGAAAACCATGAATTTCATCTGGCTAGCTAACTTTACTGGTCTGCCTGCCATCAACGTGCCTGCAGGTTTTGTCGTTCCAGAAGGCGCTAAGAATGAAGGCGAGATTGCTGAGGAGAATACCAGGGGGAAGATACCCATTGGTTTGATGGGGACAGGAGAATGGGGTAGTGAAGATTGCCTTATGCGTTGGGGTCTCGATGTTGAGAATGTCGTGGGTGATCGCAGATCGAAACCGCCTATCTGGGTGGACGTAGTTGCTAAAGCGAAGGAGGTTATGCAATCCGACGCATAGATTGTACAATATAGATATAGACCATAGATATAGACGGGACAAGAAGGGTTTCTTTGGTATCGCGGCAAATTTAGAGTTTTAACTTATCGATAAGCGTCACGTAATCGCGTTTTTCGCGTCTTAGCCGCTTAATTACCTTGTTAAGTGATTAACACTTCGATTATTGTGCAGTTCTGTTTCAACTGCCTGTCTCGATGGCCATGGTAAGCCATGAACAGAGACACAGCTAATTTCCACGCAACACCAACGAGTACGTACTTTAGCTCCATGGCATAATGCCCCCTTTCTAACAAGGCCAAATAGTCCACTCGCAGAACCCTAGCCAATCACTCAGCTCATCGACCGGAAGGACTCCTCTGTCTACCAGCCTACAGCACCTGGACAAAGCACTGATACCCCCATCGAACCATGCTGCCAATACCTCTGCGGATACTCTTCCGCCTGCGTCGCAGTTTGTACTGCCAGGATGGACCCAGTTAGGGGCCGACACAACAGCGGATGCGGAGGGCGGTAAAAGTAATGCCAATGGCAATGTTGGTGTTGGAGGTAACGGTAGCGGAGAAGGCGAAGGGTCGCATACTTCTTCATTACCGGGCATTCGGAGAGGCGAAATTACAGAGCTATCTGGACCAAGGGGGTCTGGGAAGACTTCACTGGCGTAAGTGGGCTTATTCCCTCTAGGCGTGGCCGTGCTGACTGCTTTAGTATGACTACTGCTGTGAATGCATTGAAACGTGGAGAGTCAGTTGTGTGGATAGGTATGAATACCACTTTACACCATCTTTTTACATAGGCTAACTACCTGGACTAGATACCGCCGGCCCAATATGCATGTCTAGATTTGAAAAGATGCTCTTAAAGGACAGCACACCTTCCGAGGTGCAAGACCTACTACAGAACCTACTACATCTCCAACCTACCACACTAGCTCATCTGCTAGCCCTGACATCCTATCCCATGTCAGATTTCCCGCCGCCAAACACGGGTCTAATAGTCCTGGATTCAATTTCGTGTCTCTTTGGCTCGGAATTCCGAAGCAAGCTACCTTCCAGATTAAACAAAGCTAGAGACTTAAACAGCGCAGCAGCGTCAAGGGATAAAGACTCGCAGGAGTCGAAGCTATGGTGGAAGTTGATAGGTACTCTGTCATCGAACCTTAACGCTCTTGCATCTCGTCTGGACTGTGCTGTGATCGTGGTCAACGAGATGGTTACTCGCTTCCGGTCTGGCCAGAAACCGATGTTGCATGTTGCTATATCGGGGTATACATGGGATACCAGCGTGGCTACGCGAATTATACTTTATTGGCACTGGTTGGATATCGGAGTTAGAGAGAAGCTTGGTATGCGGTGTATTAGAATGGCGGAGGTGTTTAGGGCTGGGAAGATGGCTGTTTTGCCCAGGGCCGTGGAAAGGATTGTTCCGTTCCTTGTCGAGGATGAGGTATGTTTTTTTCCTTCATTTTTATGGCGGTGTGAGGGATTGGAGTGCTTGTTACTAAATGCGAGTGAGTTTAGGGTCTTGCTGAGTTTATGCATCTATCAATTAGTCTGGGTGGTATGGCTAATGGAAGAGGGACCGTGATGCCTGTTTGTGTGAAGAGGAAGCTTGACCAGGAACAGGAGCATCTTCCCACTCAGCTCCCTCGTCGGCCGAAGATAGAGCATGATAGTGAAGAAGGTGGTGATGAAGAGGAGGAGAGATTGGAAGAGAAGTCAGATGGGAAACCGGCTGAAGCTGTACTGGCGAGTGCAGGACTACCGGCTGAGATAATGGACAGCCAGGACGAGGAAGAAGATGAGGACTGGTTGGAGGCTGCTGAGGTAGCCAACTTGCAGCCTTCGACGGGGCCAAGCACGGAGCAAGACGAAGACGATACCGAGCTGCTGCTGAGGAGCATGGTTGAAGGGGACGTCTAGATTTGCGGTAAGTCCCAACCAGTTACTACATGTAGTAACCAGTGCGAGGCTGAAAAACGTCGATGATGTAACAGCTTTAAATAACTAGTATAAATATAGCACTCTATACTCCGTAAATATATATGTAGACGACGAGAATCCCCTTGGCACCTCGACTAGTTGATCTTGTCATAAACAACATCCGTATCCACGGTCCGATAACTTCCCCGACTCCGACGTAGTTCACCTATATAAACTAACAGTTTATCTGGAGTATATACGTAATTAAATGTAAAAGGAGTATATCGAAATCTCACATGCACCTATAGTCAATAGTGCCAAAAGATAAACAATAACACATCATCATCACCATGCTACTGAGTCAACCATGGCGAGTGGGCCTGACAGCCGTCGGCATCGGCTTCAACGCGTACACCATCCTCGTTCACACCACCTACGGCTTCACATCTGTCCTGCCCATGCTCCGCACGCATAAGAGCAAACTCTACGACATCATCGGCATCTGCTTCCAGCATCTTATGATCCTCCCCACGATCGGCAGTAAGTCATGTCATGCCCATGCACATGCTTTATTTTAAAACCCCCAACCTCCTCAACCCTCAACCCTCAACCCCCATCCGGAGATATATACCCCGTGAAACTATCACTTCCACCTCCCTTGTATCAAAACTAATGCAGGTTCTCTGTAGTAATACTGCAGCTGAAGTGGTTCCACCACGGGATCGAAGGTCCGTTCGAAAAGCCACTTTTCTACACCTACTTGTTGGGCAACTTGGCGTGCGGAGCGTGGTATGGTTCGATGGGCGTGGTGAATCCGTTGCTATGCACGGTATTTGCGCCTTTGGCGTCTTTGCTTTGTGTTCTTTGATCTCACCATGCCGAACTACCTTGTATAATATGTATATATGCCGTTGATCCAAGTTTGAATCTCCAATGGGAAGAGTAGGAATATACCTCGTTGTTTTGTATCCATGTAGATTTCGTGCATCTTACTTAATAACCTAAACTCGGGCAGATCCGGGGGAGAAGGGAAGGGCCGCGAAGGGAGACACATGGGAGGCTTCGTGAATCTCCGAGGCTGGATGGCCGGCCAGATCATATGAAGGGGGTAAAGTAAGGGCAATTAATTCCCCGGCATCTTCAAACTGGAGTCCTTGTAAGGGTTACTTATAGGTACTCGAGGTACTTGCATATATGTAACAAGCCAGCGTTGGACAAGGAAGTCTCTGCTCAAAGGCCAGAACCGGACTTCGTGCTTATCTTATCAAGTAGTGAGTACCTCGGCTGTTTCCGTTTCGAGTCGAAAAAATAGAAGTGAAAAATCTAACTGAAAATAAAAGAAGCCATCTTAGTCAGTTATTAGTCATCGCCAAGGCAGGCAAGATTTTTTCTGTTGGGGGGAAAAGTGCGGAAACGCTAGTCCCTTTTGGGTAGTTAGTTGCCGGTACAAAAGTTGACGTCGAAGTAGAACAAGAAGAGGAAGAAGAAGAAGAAACGAAGAGAAGAGGAAGATCTAAAAGGCGAGAGAGCCATGACGATAAGCGATAAGATAAGAGATAACAAGGATGGAGACCAGATGAGTGAGACGAAAAAGGAGGAAAAGAACAGCAGAAGGCTCTTCATGTGGCGGCCGAGGGTCTCCGTCGATGATGTATATAAGTTGCTGCAGGTCTGCGTTTGTTGGGAGGCGAGGCCAGCGCCGTTGGAAGGCGTAACGTCTTACATAAGCGTGTATCGTCATGTCATGTCCGGTCAACTTGCGACTTTTGACGACGGTGGCCTTGGAGTGACCTTGGACGGCGGCAGCACCAGCCATGCATAGAAGCCGCTGAGAAGAAGGCAGGCAGTATAGAAGACATCCACAAGTGCAATTGACCCCCAAAAACCAGCCAGTTCAGGCCCGGGGCAGGCTCAACTCCAGCGACCAACAGCGAGGCGTGTATTGTAAATGCGATACCAGACTCCCGCCTCCCCTGCAAGCTCTTGATGTGCGCCTCCACTCAGGCACCGCGAAAAGAAAGAAGAAAGCTTGTCACTTGCGAGTTTGTCCCATCCACTTCCGCCCCAACAAGACGCGACAAGGCCAGGAAAAGATGCGAGAGCAAGAGGAGGAAGCAGAAGGAAGAAGAAGAGGCAGGGAAGAGGGCGTCTGTTAGTGTTTTTTCCTTAGTTCCGCCTGGTGGTGCCATCCTTTTCTTTGCTTTTCTCTGTCTCTGCTGGGGAAGCGTTTATATAACTAGATACTTGCTTCCTCCCACCCCTCTGCTTCCTCCTTCTTCCCTCCAAGCAAGATAGGCTGGGTTGACTTTGCTGTTTGCCATCGTCATCACTGTCGCCGTCGTGCCTTTTCCACGGTAGAGTCGAGGGAGTGACTTTGCTCTCCTTCTTCTTCCTCTTCTTCCTCTTGCTCCTTCACACCCGTCGTCTACCAACTTGGTATATATCAAAATCAAACATCTTCAAATAAACGAAATACCAGGAATAACGAAAATCAAACATCTTAACGAACACCATGGGAGACGCCGGTCCGTCCACGGTACAGCCTGCTCAGGCTCAGGCTCCTCAGCAGCAGCAGGCTGACAAGAAGCCTCACATCACCGACACTAAGATCACTCTTGCCAACTGGCACCAGCATGTCAACTGGCTCAACGTCTTCCTGATCCTGGGTATCCCTCTGGCTGGCTGTATCCAGGCTCTCTGGGTGCCGCTGCAGTTCAAGACTGCCGTCTGGGCGGTTATCTACTACTTCATGACCGGTCTAGGAATCACAGCTGGTAAGTTAGAAACATGCATACAAATGGATGATGGATGATGGATGTATAAGAACTAACAGGATGCAAAAGGATACCATCGTCTCTGGGCTCACTGCTCGTACTCTGCCACTCTGCCGCTGAGGATCTACTTGGCTGCCGTCGGTGGTGGTGCCGTCGAGGGTTCCATCAGATGGTGGGCTCGCGGCCACCGCGCTCACCACCGATACACCGACACCGACAAGGACCCGTACTCTGTCCGCAAGGGCCTGCTCTACTCCCACCTCGGCTGGATGGTCATGAAGCAGAACCCAAAGCGCATCGGACGTACCGACATCACTGATCTCAACGAGGATCCCGTCGTCGTCTGGCAGCACAAGCACTATCTCAAGGTCGTCCTCACCATGGGTCTTGTCTTCCCCATGCTCGTCAGCGGTCTCGGATGGGGTGACTGGATCGGTGGTTTCGTCTACGCCGGCATCCTCCGTGTCTTCTTCGTCCAGCAGGCTACTTTCTGTGTCAACTCCCTGGCTCATTGGCTCGGTGACCAGCCATTTGACGACCGCAACTCTCCACGAGACCATGTCATCACTGCCCTCGTCACCCTGGGAGAAGGATACCATAACTTCCACCACGAGTTCCCATCGGACTACCGCAATGCTATCGAATGGCACCAGTACGACCCTACCAAGTGGACCATCTGGACCTGGAAGCAGCTCGGCCTCGCCTACGACCTCAAGCAGTTCCGTGCCAACGAGATCGAAAAGGGCCGTGTCCAGCAGATGCAGAAGAAGATCGACCAGCGCCGTGCTAAGCTCGACTGGGGCATTCCCTTGGACCAGCTGCCCGTCATGGAGTGGGATGAGTACGTCGAGCAGGCTAAGAACGGCCGTGGCTTGATTGCTGTTGCCGGTGTTGTTCACGACGTCACCGACTTCATCAAGGACCACCCCGGCGGCAAGGCCATGATCAACTCTGGTATCGGCAAGGATGCTACCGCCATGTTCAACGGAGGTGTCTACAACCACTCCAACGCAGCCCACAACCTGCTCTCGACCATGAGAGTGGGCGTCATCCGCGGAGGATGCGAAGTTGAGATCTGGAAGAGAGCCCAGAAGGAAAACAAGGAAGTCGACTTTGTACGTGATGAGTCTGGCAACCGTATCATTCGTGCTGGTTCACAGGTGACTAAGATCCCTGAGTCGTTCCCGTCTGCCGGCGCCGCTTAAGGGTGCCTCCTTTTGTTCCGTTTTACTGCTTCGTCGACCTTTTATTGCTTGCTTCAGCGCCTGCTTCAAACGTCCTCCTTCGCCAGCGCCTTCGTCAGCAAGTGCGCGCTTCTTCGTCTTCTTTTCTTCCTGACCTTGTTCATTTCAAAGACATGATGGTTAACGATTTGGTCTGTTTCCTTGCGTAGACGACTAGAGTCACGTCATGAGCCCGCGGGTGGCTCCGTTTTTTCTCTTCTCTCACCTTTTTTCCACTCTCCGATGATGATTACACTATCCTCCTCCTTTGAACCCGGAACTGGAATGGAACCGGAACTGGCAGCCGCAGCTGCAGCCAGACAGGCTCGTGCATGGTTCCCTTCCCGTCTCCCGCCGACCTGGCAACGGGGACGTGTCTTGATCCCTTTCCTACATGATCCGTCCGTCATTCCTGGAACGAACCAAACCTCCCGTTTCCTTCTCTTACACGTCCTCATGACGCCGTTCGACCGTCGACTATGATGCTATGGCTAGGGAAATCAAACTCCCTCCTGCCATCTAATACTTTGTATTTTCTTCTTTTTCTCTTTTTTCTTTATGTGTCTCTTTATGCTTTGTTTGGGGTCTGGAGTTAAAAGGGATTATGGGGGAGGCTACAGATTTTTATCTTTCTCACGAAAACCAACTTTTTCCTGCTCTTGTTATCAAACCTTGCATGAAGTCTCAGTTTCTCTTTATTGTCTACCAAAAAGCACCAACTACCAGACAATAACAACATACTTAATATAATGACTGTCTTCTCCTACTTATCTCTTATCTAGACCTATATCTTACGTAACTTTATAAGTATGAAGCTACCTTGGTGAGTATTTGGAACACCTTTTATACCCTTACCAAGATAAATCCAAGGCTAATTCTCCCCACATTGAAGATATACCAATTACCAGTGCTTGTTAGCCGCCGCCTGAAAACCCACTGGGCACTGCAGTCCCCACGTCAGAACTCAATTCCAATCAGGGTAGAAAAACAATTTTTCCAAAGGAAAGAATAAAAACCCCTAGAGCAATACCGCAGCGTCAGAATATAACTCTATGCGTCTCGATCTAAATCCTAAGCCGGTCATTAACCATTTGTCAACCAATTAACTAACTTTACTTATAAATAGTACCTTTATGCATGTCGTTATGGCCTTTCGATTTACGCGCCAGCCTTGCATCTGTAGATGCGTCAAAGAGGCATATATCCAATAATTGCAGGCAACTTCGACATGCACTGAGCATGCTCTTACGCTCAAGTATCGGCTGGGGCAGCGCGGCTATTACATCAGAACCACCATGCAATATTTCTAGGGCTATTAATAAGGCGGACAGAGCCTTCTTTGCTCCTAGATTGTATCATCGATATCATCATCTGCACCTCTATTTGAGAGTCGATTCTTGATGTTTTTCATCTGGACCTGCACTATAAGGCGGAAGTTAACTACATTCTTGGTACGACTCGGATTAGCATCGTCAATATGGATCCGCTCAATACCATCAGTGCAACGCTCGCGCTCGTTGGGACTGTTCAGGCAGCCTATCAAACACTCGACAAAATTTCCAATTTGCCGAATGCCTTCAACGAAATCAAGGCTAGACTTCCCCTAGTCGATCCCTTGTTAAATGATGCCATGGACGCTCTCAATGACACTACGCTTTCGGAAGAGGAAACCAAGGCAATCCTCGCGGTCATTACCCCCTGCAATGAAGCGGCTGTAAAAATGAACTGCATATTCCGTGAAGTTCGGTCCAAATGCGAAAAGGACCAGAACGCAAGAAGCTGGGACATTGTTAGCCCTCTATACCACAAAGCCCTGCGCGGCAAAGGGGCACATCGGGCAGAGAAGCTCATGCGCACCATTTTTCAGGGCCTGGAGGAAATGGCTCAGCAACGAGTGTTCAAAACCGCGATGCAGAAGGATGTCAAAGCCCTCGAGGAGGCTATCGAGGGGCTGTCCAAGGTGGAACCCTCTTTACCAGACGCCGATTTTGAGGCTGGAGGCACTAACGTGACGCAAAACAATGCTACAGGGGCTTTCGGGCAGCTGAACGCCCCGCGCGGAGGCCACAATGTTTACATCAGTGGGCAATATGCAGCTCACACGCTGAACATTGGTAAGGGACCTGAAATTTCCCGTTGAATATGAAATGTATGTATTTTTCTTTAGCTAAAAATATAACTTCGCCGTTTGAGTAGACATGAGCAAAATACCAGCACGAAAGAGTGCTGTCCTTCAGAGACTCAGTAAAGACTTGCGGTACAGAGAGCGGAAAAATATAAACGCTAGGCCCGTCCTGGGGACATGCAAGTGGGTTGTGTGCCACAAGACCTTTAAGGAGTGGGAGCAAGGCAAATCGTTAGGCCTGCTCTGGGTGTCTGCGGATCCAGGATGCGGGAAGTCTGTGTTGGCCAGACATATCGTCGACTCCGTACTTCCAACAGACTCCACCAGGACAACGTGTTACTTCTTCTTCAAGCACAGCTTTGAGGGCCAGAGGAGTGCAACGAACGCCCTCCGTTGTATCTTACATCAGTTGTTTATACAGAAAGATACCCTTTTCTCGGAAGACATACTCAGGCATTTTGAAGGTGATAATGAGACTTTCACGGACTCCTTTGATGAGCTATGGCATATACTGGACACTGTTGCGAGTAATGAAGAAGCCGGCAAAAAAGTCATTGTTCTTGATGCAATTGATGAATGTGATGAAGAAGACAGGCATAAGCTTATTGAGGAGCTTTGTAGTCTGTATCGTGGGGGAAAGACACACAACCTAAAGTTCCTCTTAACGGGCCGACCATATCGGGATATCGAGACTGATTTTCAGCCACTACCACCTTCGATATGCCTAAGCGGTGATGTGGATGAAAGAGAGGCGATTTATCAGGAGATTGATATTTTTATCAGAGACAGAGTTCAAAGTATCGGGGAGAGAAAGAGCCTCAGTCAGGAAGACCAGGACCACTTGATCGAGCAACTTACGAAAGTCCAGAATCCAACTTATCTTTGGGCTGATCTTACATTAAAATTGATCAGTAAGGAAAAATACGTTAACCGTAAGGTGATAGATCGGGCCACTGCATATCTCACCGGAAACGTTGATGCAGTCTATGAGAAGATTTTATGCAAAAGCCAGGAACCCGAAGGTACAAGGAGATTACTACATCTTGTAGTCGCCAACGCGCAAGGCCGTTAACCCTGGAAGAGATAGATCTCGCCCTGGCCCTCAAGGAGCATTCTACCTCGTGCGCTGATCTTGACCTCATGAAACAGGATATTTATGACTACGTATGGGGTCTATCTGGCCTTCTCATCATATTGCTACATCAGGCCTTAAAAGTGTTTCTGGTTTCAACGACCCTTCAGATGCCCAGCAGAAAGTCCAAAAGCAAGTCCAAAAGCGATCCCGCGTTTCTTAAATGGAAACACTCATTTCGGCTCCAAGAGTCAAATAGTATAATTGCAGATATATGCATGTCTTATTTACTGTTCAAGGAGTTCGAATCCCTTTCTCAGAGCGAAGAACAGCCTGGACCCCAAGTCGGGGAGAGCACATGGTTAGCTAAATGCGTTGACGATTACCACTTCCTTGACTATGCTGCCAAATACTGGGTTACTCACTTCAAAAAAACCAGCATCGACATCAAGTCAGAGAGGGAACGAGTGCTGGATATCTTTGACGACAAGCATTACTTTATTTGGTTTAGGATCTATTGGACGCGCGAAAAACCTCCTAGAAGTTTTACTTCCCTAATGCTCCTGTCCTACTTTGGACTTACCGGGGCACTGGCTCATCTTCTCTGGTGGATATATCTCTGTTAAACTAACTATAAGTATGTAACTATATTATATGGTTAAACTACTTCTTGAATTCAAAGCGGACCCAAACATAGTTACCTGACCATCGCCACGAAACACCATTATGTTATGCCACTAGATGTGGTCCTCAGAGAATTTCCGTTGTCAAGCTACTACTTGAAGGCAACGCTGATGTGAACGCACTGGATAGAATGGGCTGTAAGCTACTTTTACACGCGCTTAAACGCCGTGGGGGTAAGGGCCTTCACAAATTACTAGAGTATGTATAGATCCATTGTTTTGTGCACTCTACAATCTTGGTAGTGATAAATAGCTACACTTGTCAATAACAGGTAGTTAGTATCGTGTATATAATTTCTATAATTACTTGTATTAGCTAGTTATTTACGCATAATTATAACTACCTTCTACGTAGTCATTTAACCCTTGCCAGAGACCTCCAACTTTTCTTGCAATATTTAGTTGGCAAAATTCTCTCCTTGCTACCTCTCGTTGGTATCTCTCGTTGGTATCTCTACACTCATCCGCCGCCTTGTTCGACATTCCCATGCTACACTAAAGAAACCATCGCCTGCTACGCCGTACCTAGAATGTCGTCTATAATCCTCCAAACCCTCACGACGCGCGCGCCATCCTGGGGCTGGGTCATCTACCGCTGTTCCTACAAGGACGAGAAGCTATGGACCAACTTCCTCTCTGAATGGGATAAAGCTATCCACAAATCTATTCCCCATTTTAATGAACAAAAATATCTCCCATCTATGGATCTGAAAATAGTTGAAGATCCTTCTCTCGAGGGCGCCAGCAAAGAGTCCATCTGCGAACGTCACTACGCCTGGGCAAAATCCGTCGGATGCGCTGTCGACTGGACCAAAGAACATAGTGAAGAAAATAATTGGTTCCCTTCGCCTCGCTATCAGTTCGCTGTCCAAGTCGATAGAGCCGCATTACTAAGTGCGTCGGTCTATCGTGGAAAGCCTCCAAGGGATAGTATAGGGAAATCCTACGCCAATCTGCTGTTTGTAACGAAGTATATGGGCAAAGAAGCTGCTGGGGAGAGATCTGGGGATCGTCCCTGGGTGAACAACCGGTGGTGGATGAAGTCGGAGCTGTATGGGTTGCCTGTATATACGTACCACGAACTGACCAGGTCTACCAGGTGGTATTGGGTGTATCGGGAGCCGCCGCAGATAGCAGGGCCCTGTGGTGATGATTAGATATGTATTTTACTCTTTTGCGTCCTCATCCAGCTGCTGTTTATCGACCCTAGGTGTTCGGAACAACATAGTAATAAAGGCTTACTAATAAATCGAGAGGGATATCCCAAGGAAATATTAGGTAGTTAATTTAGTTAATTAGCTACGGAGTAGTTAACTAAATAAGTCCAGTTAAATGCTTGGCTGGCTACAACATCCAAGTTGAAGCTTTTCTTCCTGCATAGCTTCACTACGCTCGTTTCTATCTATAGTTATAGCTACACGTCTCTATCTATATCTATCTATATACACAGCCTACGCCGGCCTACAGCTGTCCACAGCCACAGTCACTGTGACTGCCACCTGTCTAGCTACCAGCAGAAGAGAAACAGAGACACTCGGTCACCCTGGCCCTGGCTACGAGGAACTCGCGCCTCTCCCTCTTCCTGCTCGCCCTCCCGCTCTTCGTGGTCGCCGTCCTCATCCTGGCGCCCGCTCTGCGCTTCCCCGCCCTCGGGCTGCCGTCCCTGCGCGCCGCGCGCCCCGCCTTCACCTTCGCTCCTCCTGCTGCTTACTCTTCCTCCTTCACTTCGCCTCTTCGACCAACAACAACAACAAGAGCAACAACTTCACCATTTCTACGATCGACAACGTCAATACCAACAGCCAGACCGCTCACGACAGCTTCAATGGCTCCCTCCGCGCTACGATCACCTCCCCAGCCTCCGCCACTGTTCACAGGCACCCCCACCTCCGTCGTCGAGGACACCAAGCGCCTCATCGAGCTCTCGCGTGCCGTCCAGGATGGCGTCGCCAAAAACATCACTGCCGAAACAGCCACCTTCGATAAGGTCGTGCTTCCACTGGCCCGAGACGAGAACACCATGGCCCTCGAGTCACATATCCTGGGATTCTACCAGTCCGTCTCGACAGATAGCAAGCTACGAGACGCCTCGACCGAAGCAGAGCGGCTCATGAACGACTTCGGCATCGAGTCTGCCATGCGTGAGGATCTGTATAAGCTCGTCGACGCAGCTGTCAAGAAGAACGAGAAGCTTGACCCAGAGTCGAAGAAGCTGCTTGAAAAGGAGCACAAGGATTACATTCGTAACGGCCTGGGACTGCCTGCGGGGCCTAAGCGGGATAGGTTCAAGGAGATCAAGAAGCGGTTGAGCGAGATCAGCATTGAGTTCCAGAAGAATCTTAATGAAGAGAATGGTGGGCTGTGGTTCACCAGGGAACAACTTGCTGGTGTCCCTGAGGACGTGCTGTCGGGCCTGAAGAAGGGTGACGGTGAGAATGAGGGGAAGCTCAGACTTACTTTCAAGTACCCTGACCTATTCCCGACGCTCAAGTACGCTATTGACCCCGAGACGAGAAAGACCGTCATGATTGCAAATGAGAATAAGTGTAATCAGAACATACCCTTGTTCCAGGAGACGTTGCTTCTCCGTGACGAAGCTGCTAGGTTGCTCGGGTATCCCAACCATGCCGCCTTCAGACTAGAGGATAAGATGGCTAAGAACCCCAAGACGGTCGATGACTTCTTGGGTGACTTGCGCTCTAGACTGACGGATGGCGGCAAGGACGAGATCAAGACTCTCATGGAAATGAAGAAGAAGGATGTCCAGACCCAGAAAAAGGAGTTTGATGGACACTATTTCCTCTGGGACCATAGGTTCTATGACCGCATGATGCTGGAGAAGGACTATTCTCTTGATCACCAGTTGATTGCAGAGTACTTCCCTCTCCAGACTACCATCCGCGGTATGCTGGAGATCTTCGAGCAGATTTTTGGTCTCGTCTTTGTGGAGATCACGGGCGAGGAGAGGACTAAGATTTCTACCTCGGGTAAGGGAGAGGATATCGTCTGGCATGAAGATGTGCAGGTCTTCAGTGTCTGGAACGATGAGGGCGAGGGAAGTGGATTTGTCGGATACTTGTATCTTGACTTGTTCCCTCGAGAGGGCAAGTATGGCCATGCCGCCAACTTCAACCTACAACCGGTATGTTCATTCTCAATAGTCAATATCCCCATATTTCTACATGTAACCAATATTAACTCCGTGCATAGGGCTTCATCAAGGAGGATGGATCTCGTCGATACCCCGCGACCGCATTGGTCTGCAACTTCTCCAAGCCAACTGAGAAGAAGCCCAGTCTGCTCAAGCACGACGAAGTCGTCACCCTCTTCCACGAGCTTGGCCACGGAATCCACGACCTTGTCTCCAAGACCATCTACTCTCGCTTCCACGGTACCAACACTGTCCGTGACTTCGTAGAGGCCCCCAGCCAGATGCTCGAGAACTGGTGCTGGACTCCTTCTCAGCTCAAGTCCCTTAGCAGACACTACTCCACCATTTCTCCAGAGTACTTCAAGGCCTGGAAGGAACATGCTGGAGATAAGCCAGACCCCGCCGCAGAGATTCCAGACGAATTGATCCAGAACCTTATCAAGACGAAGCATGTCAATGCCGCCTTGTTCAACTTGCGACAACTCCACTTTGGAATCTTCGACATGACTGTCCACGAGCCCAAGGACCACGAGGCGATCAAGGACATGAACATCTCAGAGACGTATAACAAGCTTCGAAAGGAGATTGCTTCTCTTGATGGACCCGAGGTTCTTGGTCAGGGCTACTCCTGGGGCCACGGAGAAGCTACCTTTGGCCATCTCATGGGTGGCTACGACGCTGGATATTACGGTTATCTCAGGTATGCTCATCATAAATATCGCTTAACACTATACCTTAAAACGAGTACTGACTGACTCCCTTTACAGCTCCCAAGTATACTCCACAGATATGTTCTATACCGTCTTCAAAGAAGACCCCATGAACAAGAAAGAAGGCCGTCGCTACCGCTACTCCGTTCTCGAAAAGGGAGGCAGCCAAGATGAAATGACGACCCTAAAGGAATTCCTCGGCCGTGAACCAAAGCCAGACGCTTTCTACAAAGAACTCGGCCTCGCCTAGATTCGAATTCATCACCTATTATCTCCCCTCTCTACTTTGCTTCAGCTAAACTCAAGTTAATCGTTACATCTACATATTCTTACGAGCTTCGAATTCGCCTCCAATTATAGCATACATATTCCACGGTGCAAGTTCTGCGGCTGGGTTGTGCTGTTAATTTAGCTTATAGCTTATAGCTAGTTTAGTCATTCCATACAAAGGTCAAAATTTACCTTCCTGCTCCTTCGCCTCATCCGCCTCTTTCCTTCCGTATATAGCTTCATCATACTCAACAATACGACAGATACATTCCACGACAGATACCATTCCACAACGATACCCTTTGCGAACAAACTCATCGAGATGGCGTATCTTACCATCGTGCTCGAGGTCGTACATGCTTCTCTCGCGACTGCTCATGCCTTCCTTACTCTGGTTATCATTGCCAATACCTACAAGGTCTCCATGGTCGATCCACGCCGCCGTCGAAACAATACGACTACCCTTGCGTCTTCACCAGACACGGCCGATGATGCCCCTCCAGCTTATACACCACAAGACCAACCTCCAGCGTACCAAGCCTCTGCCCATCAAGATCCGGGAACAAAGATACGCATCTGGGAAAGGAACCTATACATAACGTGAGTTATTGATCTCAAGTGTCAATAATCGTGTACCTATAACGTCATAACGTCCCTAACCAGCTTTTATGCACTATTGGGCAGTTACATACACTCCGGCGAACTAAAAATCATTACTCTCTACTTCATTAAAGGCTCATACCGTCCCTATTTCTCTGTACAGTAAGTCCCCGTCCTCTGCCTCAGTGCTACTGCTCTAAGTTAGTCAAAGGATGCGAACTAACTACGATGCCTACCTAGAGACAACTTAATGACCGATAACCTACAAAATGTTATTGAGACTTTGAAAGATATGACTAGCATTATTAAAGTGCTAACCGAATGTGTCGAGAATAACACAAAACTCATTTTGAGCCATCAAGATATACTTGAGAGGTCTGAACAGAGACAAGGACTGAGCCAGTAGATCTGTCGATGGACTACGTGCTAACTTCCAACCCATGCTGAGATTGTTGATGGGGAAAGTCACGGGTAGTTATCCTGGTTTAGGGTGTACCCGTATGGGTGTGTATTGTTATTGTACTTAATTACACGAAGCAGCGAATAGGGCAAATGAAAACAGTTGTATTTGTTAACGGATTGAGAACATAGCATGGGAAGGTATCTGATAGAGATGCAATACAGCTCTTAGCATGCCGCCAAACATCAATTTGACGCCATAGGGTATAGATTGATGCTGTGGAGGATATATTGAAAGAACCACAAAGGTGATTCCGACGGTATCATGGTACTAGTTAATTAGGGGCCTTAGATCTGATTCATCGTGGGTATAAGATATCTCTCCTCATCCGTGGTGTTACCTAGAATAGATCTATAGGTAAAGGGGCTTTTATTTCCATTTCATCAGTTTGCAGCGCTTTAAGTATATCAAACCCTCAAGGGAGGCGTATGGTCTGTATATAACCTTTCAAATCAACTCGGTATTCATCTGGCCAAATAAAGAGTGTAAGCTGTAGTTTTGAGGCATGGGAAAAGCCCAAATGTTGATGTTTACCTTTTGGCCGATTTAAACTTAGATCAAACTCAAAAATGTTAATAAGCAGGCTAAGTCACGTGTACAGCTCTTGTCAACAGTGGAAGTTCCAAACCTTCAGAAAACATCTACAACGGACCTCAGGCCATACACCGTCAGATTAAACGAACGGCGAAGAGAGATGATATGACAGGCCTAACATTCTCTCCGTGGCTAAAAGTGAGCGGGAGCGCACATGGCCAGCCTTGAGTGGGAACAATTCGGGATACCCCTATAGCTATATACACTCGCCTCCCTCCACTTGCCCTATACAGCACGTTAAGTTGAAGACAGATGATACCAACGGGCGACTTCGCCTATCTCGCACGGCGATTTTTTCTTTTTCCTCCTCATGGAGAGTGAGGGTGTATTGAATCCTTCAAAGATTCCTCATCGGCCCAAAAAGACAAAGGCTATAACCGACCACCTGGCAGGCGCTTACCGGCCATTACGGCATTGGGGGTGTCACAAAATTGCCATATGCTCCATGTTACACCTAGCAAATAAGATATTCTGCTGCAAACTTTTTTTTTTGCAATATCCGATTTAGTCAGTGATGTGTCGGGCATCTCTTAATGACAAGGATGGTTACTAAGAGCCAGCAGCATCAATGTCATAGCACCGTGGGGAGTGCTTTTACCATTAACGCCTTGACACATTGACATGTTGTTATCGGATATACCGATTGGAGGAATGGGGTAGATGGAGGTCCGAATGCTAGTTGGGATTTCATTGTGTTTGCCATGTACGACTTTATAAGTTGCGTTGGTCATAAGGCTGTCAAACTGCTGGAGTGGCTGAACATATCACAAGTCCATCTACTCCTGTCCGGCAATTGGCTAAGTAATCTACTATGGAGGGAGATTGGTGTATAGATACCTCGATACTAGATACTGTAAAAAATATAAGGATACGCCAGATAACGTTCAATAACAGATACGTGCTATCAACTTACTACCTATCAGAGAGCTTGAGAAGCTCTGGTACTGAAACATATTGATTATCGCGATTATCTATGCGTAGAAAGCATTTCATTCAATAGCATTTGATAATATTCAATAGCATCTAATAAGCCTATGGCCTTCCGATACAGGGCAACCTATGGCCGACGTGACAGTCACGTGCTACAGCTATCGAGCTGCAGCTTTGAACCGTTGAACTAACAAACAATAAGACAGAGAAGGTCAATTCCTCACTGAAGAAGCTGTTTGGATATTGATTGAGCAGCTACACCAGACCAGCTGCCTTAGAGATACGATGGCGACTACTATATCCCAGGACCCTCCCGCTCGAGAATTGTCAACTCCGCAACAGGAGGAGCTTAATGCGGAAGACTCCAAAGCCAGCCAACCTCAAAGCCGCATACCCATAAGAACCTACCACTGCAGATTCTGCAACCATCTTCTTATTGCATCGACACAGGATCTGTCTACGCTTCCTCGAAGACGAGCTCCAGCTTTAGACAATGCGATAATACTCCCTCTACCGAAGAAGTCAGCCGACGCAGAGGAAGAGGATGACGACGAGGAGGAAGAAGAAGAAGAAGAAGAGGAAGAGGAAGAGGAGGACGATGGAGAAAGCAAGGAAAAAGACTTGGGAGAGACAGAGATATCACAACAGATGGAATCAGCTACGTTGAAACCGGGCTCAAGGAAAGGGAAATCCTCTGCGCCCTCATCTTCGTCGCAACATTACACAATCCTGCTATCGACGACTACACCGGATAGAAAACCGATTATTCTACGGAGAGCAGACGGGTTTGAGAAACGGTTACTGGTTCGGTGCGGCCGGTGTAAAGTTGTGCTCGGGTATGTTTTGGACGAGGTTCACTTTAAGAAAGGCGAAGAGAACAAGGCTGGCGCCGCTGCAGCGACGTTAGAAGGGGAAGAAGGCAACGTTTCTGGCACGGGGGAACCGGAGGTTATCTATATCCTTCCAGGCTCACTGGTTGAGACAGAGGAGCTGAGCAGTGAGATTAAGCTTGAGAAGGAATCCTGGGCAGAGTGGGAGTCTCTTGCAAAGAAAGCGAGTAAATGAATCTTACACGAAAGTACGGAGTAATGAATGACCTGGCAGTTTGAACAAGAGTGATAAAAGTGGTATTACGATTCCATAAAATAAAAGGCCCATACACCAATCTCTACCGCTTATCACCAAAGAAAAAGACTCTTCGACGTCGTGTGACAGGATGATTTCTGGACTCCTTCCCTATCCATAAACAAGTTGTGAAAAATGATATATTCATAACGCATAAACACCGAGGCCGCAATAGAAGAGGTTGAAAGGGATGGACAAGCTTAGTTGGCGAGAATCGTTCGGACGAGCTCTGTAGAAATCGAATATTAGTTGATTTGCTCACTCTCTCGTGAGCCAGAAAGATAACTGACCGGTGTAGTTTATCTCGCCGGAGCTGGTGTCGACGGCCTTGAGAAGCTCGTCAACTTCTTCATCCGACATCTTCTCGCCGAGGTTGGTCAGGACTGTCGAGGGGAAAAACCCCGTTAGCATTGGCTATTCATATATATCGGAGCAGTCATTCTCACTGTATCGAAGCTGTCCAACACCAATGTATCCAGTCATGTCCTTGTCGAAGACCTGGAAGCCACGACAGTACTCCTCTGGCTCTCCTGGGTCGCGGAATCCACCAGGTCGGTTAAGCACCTTGGAAAAGGCATCGAAATCAACTAAACCCGCCGTCTATCAGCTTTCTGCTCCATATCTGTCGTACTTTCTCTCTTTTTTTCCACTGGCACATCAACTCACAGTCTCCGCCAATTCCCTTCTCCAAGTCACTGATCTCAGCGAGGGTTGGGTTCTGTCCGCATGCGCGAAGCAGGTCGCCCAGGGACTCGAGGGCGACACGGCCGGTTCCGCGCTTATCGAAGAGGGAGAATGCTTCCTTGTAGTTTGTAGAGGCCTTGTCGCCATTGTTATGGTTCTCGTTAGCTGATGCCATGATGATTTATCGACTGTTCTGTCTGGTCTCTCGTCTCTTGAGATATTTTTTGTGGATTGATTCTTGCACAGCGAGTTGCGAGGTTCTCTCTTTCTTTTTCTCCGAGAGCCACGTCAGGGCGATTCGGGGGAACAGAAACACGAAACAAAACGCAGTCTCAAGCCGGATCTTTTGGGGCAAGTCGCAAGGCAGTTTTTTTGTTTACTGTGGTGACGCAGGCAGGGAGAGGCAGGCTGATGCTGGTCTGGTTCTCGTTTCTCGGTGTGCAGTGAGGGTGAATGGTGATGAGAAAGAGCATTTTCACGTACCATGGTTCTGCTTGTTTGTGTTCCCGAGTTGTGTAGCGGCGAAGACGATGGAGAGCAGCTGGTTCAGGATATCTTTCTTTCTTGCTTGCTTGACGGCCGGATGAGTTGGAGATGGGTGGTTTATATGTCCAGGGGAGTGTTTTCGGTCTTCTTTTGATCTGCTGCTTTTTCTTCTCTTCTTATCGCTGCGACCAGGCCGGCCGTCTCGTTGCCATGGGAGACGGGACGCCACCAGGCAGCCCCTGAACAACGCATACTACCTAAAGTTATCTACCTGGACTACGACATCAGAATGTATCTACTTGTACACGGGGGACGATGAGAGACAGTGGAAGACGATGAGGTGCCGGCGACAGTGGTATATTTATAATTACAGGAAGTTGTTCGGGTCGAAAAGTCGAGATAGGAGTGTATAAACAAACAACACGAAGAAGAAGCCACAAAAGACGAGAAAAGACGGCCCAATTCAACTGAATAGCAAGAGAGTCGATAAGAGAAAAGGAGAATCCTCATGAAGTGCCAATAGTAGTTACCAGTCATTACCTCTTTTTATGTAACCCCGAGTTCCCTTGGCTCAAAAACATGCGCCCTCGATATCCTACTTTCTAAGCGCCAGAGACACAAAACAAACGGAAGATAAACAACAGAAGAATAGGAGTAAACGTATAGGAAAGTCGAGCAGCGCTGGAACGGAAGAAAGAGTCGCTTGGTGATGGTGATGATAGTGGTGGTGTGGAGTGGATAGGAGTGTCTATGGTAGATGCAAAAGATGACTTTTGTCAGGGGGAATACCAGACCAGATCAGGCGTTTTTGAATGGCAGAAGTAGATAGATAGATAGATAGATTATAAGCTCGGTGCAATGGTGATAGGAGAACCCTTGAGCTTGTCGATGCAGCTTCCCAGGAGGTTGGCGGCTTCATGAAGCAGCTCCCATCTTGTATTGCGGAAGTCGGCTCGCAAAACCATGAGAAGTCCCATACACTGATTTCGATCTCGGATGTTCTCAAGGTCGTTCGGGTGGCGGACACCTCCTACTCGCTCGAGGAAGGCGTACATGTCGCGCCGTTGCTGTTCGGGCGTGGCCAGCTCTGGCGGTGGCGACGGACGGATTGGACCGTCCAGCGCAAAGCCGTAGGACCAGACGACCAGGGCGGCAAAGTAGAGAACCCACGGCCGGCTCATGATGAAGTCCTCTCGGGCACAGTACTCATGCACATTCATCCTTGATCCGGCCACTGGATAGTCTGGCCTGGAAGAACCGTTCCGAAGCAGGACCTGGGAGAGGAACTTCAGGGCAAAGAAAGTAGCGTCTCGAGCTGAGTCCTTGTTAGCCCATCGTTCGACCATTTTCTCTTTTGCACAGCTAAAGTCTCTGGGTGTGATGGCTCGTCCCAATAGTCGCGCAGCTCCGGCAAATATCTGGCAGTCAACCACATCGACGTGAGAGGCCATATGGGCAAGATGGTGAAGCACATTTCTTGTCTCGGCGAAGACGTCCTCTTCAAAGAGGTTCTGTTGCCGCTGCTGGTATCCGCCGGATGACGAGTAACCACCGGCAGATGAACTGGTGTCGTTGGCTAGCGATTCATCAAAGTCTCGCTTCCAGTTATCAAATGCCCGGAGCATGGAAGATCGCCACTTGTCTCTGAAGCCAGGTACTTGAGAGACACCAAGCGAGTTAACCTGTAGATCTCTTTGGTTCATATGCCAGCTTACACTCAACAAACCAGCCATGATTATCGTTCGACCAAAGGCGTTGGTTCGCACCGTCTGGCCCGTCAGCGTCTTTTTCAGCCCTTCAAGAAACATGGTTGGTTTGAAACCGCTGGCGTTGAGCCGTAGCTGTACCTTTGCCGCTTCCGAAGGACAAGTAGCAGACCAGAGATTCTCGTCACAGGGTAATGGCAGCCTCATTTCATGGGCGGCCATCTTCACCGAGTGTCCGAACATGGTGGCATGAGTCGAATCCAGGACAAACGCAGCAAAGGCAACTCGTCGTGTCCCTTCCGATTTTATCCAGCGCAGCCACGATTCGTCAAAGTGGCCTGGCTCAGAGCTGCCTGCAGACGAGGGGACTGCCGATCGCTGTCTGTTGTCTGAGGGAGACGGAGGCGAGTTGAAGGCAGTGCGGCCTATTAGGGAGCTACCACGGCGCATTAGTGTTAGTGTGGTGTCATGGTGGATGTGTGCTCTTTCATGTAGCTCTCGTGTAGAGTACATCTTCTCATATGTCTCAAGGAGTAGCAATGTTTGGAACACCCAGAGCTTTGCGGGCGGCCTGAAGTCGGGGTCCATGAATAACTCCCACCGCAGATGAACGCAGATGAAGTTCGCCAGCTCTGATGCCGTATCAGTAAATTGCTGGCCTCGGTTGTTATCCAGGGTAACAGCTCCAAGGGCCATTACAGCAAAGAGGAGGATATTTGGCGTTTTGTCTGGTGTGAAGGTGTGTTTATGTAGGATCGGTAGTTGCGCATGGCAGTGGTACCAGTAAGAGCTAATATACGTCTGCATCATGCGTAGACTGAGAATATGGTTGTCCGCGTCCATATTGCCCTCCATGAACGTCTCCTTGCGACTCTTAACGGAGCCACAACCGATTTCATTGAACCTCGTCTGCATCAAATCTAGCAGTTCACTTCGTTTCTCTTCCGATATAACCGAGTATGGCGGGCTGGAGTCAAGGATACTGGTAACGCTCATGGGGTGATGCTGCTGTTGTTGCTGTTGCTGCTGGAGGGTGCCGGTGCCATATCCGGATACGGCCGTCGAATCAGTAGGGTAGTATGGATTTTGGATCTGTCCGGAGAATGTATCGAGATAGTTGGGCATTATGGTTGATACCGCAGGGAATCCAGCGGCAGATGACGTATTAGAGCTCTCGTTGAAGAGCCACGCAGTAAAGTCGTCAGTCAGGGCAAAGGGAGAACGGTTCAGTATCTCGCTGCCAAATACCGGCAGGGCATAAGGCCCTATAGAGTCCATGTTGGCTACCGAAGCTTCCGAATGCATGCTCGTTGGCAAAGAAGTCATCTGGCTCAGGGTACTGGCCAAGTTTGCACCAGACGAAGATTGACTGTGGGATCTACTCAGGACAGCACCCGTGTAGCCAGAGCCAGGGAGAACAGCCGGCATTGGCATGTTCTGGTTCTGCGGCATGTATGTGTTTGTAGCCATGCCGTTTGCCAACATGCCGGATGGCATGCCAAATGGAGACACTGTATGGTTCCCAGCAGGACTTGATATAGACTGCTGCCGGGACTGCATGGAATCCGACGCAATAGAGGTCCCTGGGCCTATCTCTTGCGGCCCAGCCAACGGTGATATTGAGAATGGCTGGGGGGTATTATTATGTGTATTATTATTAGTATGGGTGTATGGCTCGTAACTTGAGCAATTTGGTTCACCGTAGACGGCCACTGGCTGTGGCTTCTGCTGCGGAACAAGGTATCCTCCTGTATTCCCGTCTGACTGCCGCCGTATCGAGTCCGTGTTGCCTTTGTGGTATGCGTTCTGGGGTGTCTGTAGAGGCCCGCCATGGAGATCCGAACCACCGCCAGCAGCAGCACCAGCGCCCGCCATGTTAGAGGTCGCGTAGCCCTGAACGGCTATGAATCCAGTGCTGCCGGCACCGTTAACGGCCTGCTCAGCTATCTGCGAGCGAGAGGGTATCGATCCTGCTGGAGACCTGGCCTCGCTGGCCTGCTGCGAGATGGACGCCGGGTTGCCGCTTGTATCTCTGGTAGACGGCGACGAGCCTGCGCCTGAGCCCTGAGTAGCGACATGATCGCGCTTCTGCAGCTGTGAGCCATGGGTATTATGGCGCTCCTGGTGCCGGATACACAGATCCTGGCGAACAAAGGTGCGGAAGCAGTTGGGGAATTCGCATCGATATATTTGTTTGGGCGAGTCTGCGAAAAAGTCACGATGTCAGCTCAACAACGTCAACTACAACAACCACAGCCACAAACACAACCACACAACCATCCAACGGTGTACAATGGTACGCGCAGACAGAGATACGTACGGTTTAGCTGATGGCGGTACAGATGCTCGGCTCGCGAGTAGCTCTTCCCGCAGCCTTTGTGCTTGCATTCGAACTTTTTGCCCGTGGCAGCCTTCCTCGTCCGCTTCCGCTTCTTGGGCGACCCGTCCGGCTTGATCGGCGACTGCACTTCGTCTGATGGGCTGTGAGAGCTCAGGGGACTCGGCTCCTGTTCTTGTTCCTGTCGACGTTCCTGGCCCTGGCCGTGGACCGGTGCCTGGGCCGGTGCCTGAGCCTGAGTATAACGGTGCGCGGCGACGGCGGAGAGAGCAAGCGGGTCGGAGTCGACAAACATCGTCATGGCGACCTGTACTCTACCTCTGCAAGCTCAACTTCTAGATGCAGTCCGGGGCGAATGACATGACCCACCCTCGCCCAGGATGAACGCAAGACTGGGGATGCTGATGGTAGACCTGGAGCTGCTCTGCGCGATGGCGCTGGCATCGGCGGGAGGGACGAAGACAAAGACGGCGAGGACGAGGACGGAGATGAGACGACGAGGGGTGATATGTGTGTGTATGTGGTGTGATAGTGGGTAACTAAAAAAGGACCGCTGCTTCTGCAACGTCTTGATATGTATGGACGGCGTCTTGGACGGCTCTTTTTTCTTTTCCCCGGGCCAGTTAACTACAACTAATACGTCGTGCGTCACAGAGCGAGATGGAAGTGCGAGGGCAAGAGCGCGAGAGAGAGAGAGGGAGAGGAGAAAAGGAAAGACAGATAGCCGGGGTATACTATTATTGTATACTGTTACCAGCTGCAAGGAAGCAGGGCCAAAAAAGACCGGCAAGATGACAACCGACGGCGGGTTTAGTAGTCGACAGGATGCTGGACATGGACACCGAAGAGACAGGATGCTGGAGAAGCCAGCCCAACGAACTGTTTGGCCTCCATGTGGGATGGATGAGGCTTCAAGAAACTCGGTCGATTTACCTGCCTGCCTGCCTGCCAGCAAACCAATGCGCCTTATTACATGCAGCTATATTAATAACGGGGACACCACTATCCAATATGTATTAACCCTCGCCTTTTACGGAGGCCAACGGGAAAGGCCAAAAGGGGACATCCAATTATTATGATTGTTATATCAGACTTTTCGAGAGCTCTTCTCGGGGCGCTTATACGCAACGGCTTCTCCACCACGAGCAACCTAGACCTGTTCGCCCAGGTTAGACGGGGTATGTATGTATGTCTACACAGCTCGATTCCATCGCCTAAAGATGTCATATTTCGACTCCAAGCGGTAGCTCCGAGACCAGTGACAAGAGGTAAGTCAGTCCCAGTTCAGCGGCGTGGGGTGCGAACTCCTTTCAATGGGAATTGATGACCTGGATGGTTGCTTTTTCCTACGCTGTCTCTTTCTCTCTGTCTTTTCTTTTTCGTCCCTCTCTCTTTTCTTATTGCCCTGTTCTTTTTACTCAATTTTTATTAGATTCTTGTCGGGCTTCATCCACTGGGCATTTCGGATTAACGCACCCTTTTACCCGGAGTCTAGTCCTTGATTATTGAATCCTATGCAAGCGAGCTAACAACGAGCTGACAAGTTACCATCACGATGCTTGACCCTATGATTGTAAGCGCAGGCCACGGTGGACCTGCTCAGGGGCCTATGGACTGGGACATGGGACAGTTTTGGGAGGATCCCTCATTCGTATTTCGGTTGAAGTGGGAGGCAATGGGAGAGCAGATCAGGATAAAACAATTCGACCTGGGGGCTTTCGGGGCCATCAAGAAGATGTCCACTCGACTACTGGCTCAGAACATCCAGCAACATCTCATATCAAGTCCTTTTGTTTTTTTATTTTTTCATTTTTTTTTACCTTACCGCTGTCACACGGCGAAGCCCGCAGCGGGAACCGGATCGGGCCTCAGTGAAGCGGACAAATGAGCCATTGCCATGCCGCCATCTAGCCCCAGGCTAATTTACACTTGGCTGGGATACCTCAGTGCAGTTGGTGCGGCGCTTCTTGCTGCTGCTGCAAAGGCTGGGGAACATGATGAAAAGCTGCTGCACGACTTACCAGCCGCATGGCTCTGCTGGGCCATCTTATGCATTTACTACATTGGAAGACGGTACCTTCTCCAGGGCCGCTTCTTTGACGGAGATGGCCTAAGGGGCCGAGATCTGACCTCCATCGCTCGCTTGTGGGCGGTTTCCATTGCTCTCGTCGCATTCATATTTGCCTCTTCCTTCTCAGGGGAAGCCTCGTGGCTACTGGTATGGAAGAATGATTTGTCCTCCCCCTCCCTTCCTCCTCTTCCTCCTTCGGGGACCCCCTTCGGGCTCTCTCTGAATAATAATCACTGCTCATCAAAGCCGAGATGGATATATGTGGCTATTCGAGAGCAATTGAGGAATGGAAAAGAGTGCTTGCTGACTTTGTAGCCTGTCATTACCACTATCGTCCATGTGATATTTCTTTTGCGAGAAAAACGCTCTTTGTTATCGCCATCGGACACCTCACCTGGGGATTTTATACCCAAAGGATGGCCGTCCTTCACCCAATTAATTGGACCGGCCGTTGTCTTGCTTTCTCTGGCAGACTCGGTTTTCCTATTTCGACAGAGTGGGGATCTGAATTCATCACCGCTACCATCTATTTTGCGTCTATCCGCTTGGATATGCCTGGGTTGGTGGACGTCGAATAGTATCCGGTCTACGACAGCCTCTGAAGGCGCGGATGTAACATCTGCTCTCTCACATGGCGTTACACCAAGAGTGCTCTTCGTATTGACCGTATGTCTGGCTCTCCGCGGGCATGCACCAAGCTTTACATCGGTCGAAATCTTGGTCTCCTTGCTGTCGGCCTCAAAATGGATAGCAATATTCTCACTGGTGTGTACCGAAAATAAAGCCCTCTCTCCTTTTTGGCTTACGACATATAATATAAACATAGATTTAAAAACAATGCTGACGTAGGGCGATATATCTCAAGGTTTCTGGGAATGGCTCTGCTGCTGCAAGCACGCTAGATTCATTTGCCCTGTTCTCGGCCCAGGCGATAAATCTCAAGCAGACCAATGAATTTCCCGTTCTATTTTTGTCAGCTGCAGTAGCCTTGGTCCAAGGTGCAATTACTCTCCCCAAGGGCCCACGGTACCGGAACTGGCTGGTTCTGCTTTTGTTGATTCCACTTGCAGGCATTGTGCGTCAGGAAGCGTCCCTGGACCTTGGATACTCCCTCTATGACGGAACGGTTGGGCGTGTTGGAGATGTCCCAATCCACCCTATCCAACAACTCGCATCCGAGGCTCTGAAAAAGCACAAGGACATGGTGGCAAGCCAATCCAAAACTCTCAGCGCTGCCATTAAAGAATATGAACGCCGATATGGCCGAAAGCCTCCTCCTGGATTTGACGTGTGGTATGAAGCTGCGACACAGGAAGGTTTTATTCTTGTTGACGAATTCAATTCATTGATGGAAGGGCTGAAGCCATTCTGGGGTGTTCCTCCCGTTGTGCTTCGTACCCGTGTGGCTGCAGCAACGCAGATCCCAGGTTCAAGGCTCATCCGCTATTCTGTGAGAAATCGTAATCTGATGGCCGAAAATGACGGTGAGGCTACTTGGATCACAGACCAGCTAAGGTTTTGGTTCACTCCTGAAATATTGGATACGGTACCTGATATCATGTTCGCCCTTAACTTACTTGACGAGCCAAGGGTCGTGGCTCCCTACGACGAATTAGTGGAGGCTCAATCTGCAAGTAAATCGAATGACTCGGCAGAACACTCAGAGTCGTCCTCGGATAGAACCATCAGATTCGAGAAGGCAAATTCCAACACCGGCCTGTGGGATAGCATGACATTATCCTGTGACCCGAAATCTGCAGCTAGAAAAGGCCCAAGCAGATTCAAGCTCCCCCACAAGGGCCTAACTAGCAGCTTCGTCTCCAACACGAGCATTGCCCGAGATGTCTGCTCCATGCCAGATCTCCAGGTGCAGCATGGGTTTTTTATTGCCCCCGAAACGGCAAGTCTAGCACATTCGATCGTCCCCATCTTCTCACAGGCCAGGCCTTCAAGTTTTCAAGACATTCTTTTGCCGAGTGTATACTATGGTGCGAAGCTAGAGGCGCATGAATACAAGGAAGGCCAGGATATGCCGTGGGATGAGAAAGAAAACATCGTCCATTGGACCGGATCTTCAACAGGTGGTCATACCAACAGTAAAAACTGGCACACCTTTCACCGTCAACGACTGGTGCTCGCAACCTCCAACAATGCTACCAGGATTAGTCTTATGAAAAAGGTCCCTGGACACCATTCGAAGGACGGTAACACTACATCCACTTGGCGCACCTATACGTCTAAAATGGGACAGATTACGTCCAAGTTCAAAATCCGAATCTCAGCCGTCATCCAATGTGAAGACGATGCATGTGATGCGCAGGAAGCCGCCTTCCGACCAGATGAATACCCAGAGGAGGATTTTCAAGCAACGTATCGAGCACGATATAATTTAGATGTGGACGGCAACGGTTTCAGTGGCCGTTACCTTCGTGGTCTCTTGTCCAACTCTGCCATGATGAAGCAAACAATCTTCAACGAATGGATTGATGATTGGTTGACGCCCTGGGTCCATTATATACCCGTTAATATGGACTTGGTGGAATTCCCTGAGCTAATACGCTTCTTTACCTCCGAGCCTGAGGGACAGGAGATTGGAAAGAGGATTGCGATGGCAAGTAAAGACTGGTCGCGGAAGACGATTCGGAGAGAAGATTTAAAACTTGCCCTGTGGCGGGTAATGTTGGAATATGCACGTGTTATGAGGGATGACAGGGACTCTATACATTGCTGTTCTTGATTTGACTGCTGTAGGTTGATTTCTTTTAGTTTTTGACAGTTTTGTATGCTGGAGCAGGTTTTCAGACATATAGTTTTGATCTACATGCTCTTCCGGCTGAAGAGATGTCTGGTTTGTACACGAGCGGATGCAGAGCAACGTTTTCATGTTTTCTTATAGATAGATTTCTAGTTCTTGGGTTTACTGTTAGCTTGGGGATAACTATATACTTACGATAGAATGTACCATGTTTGATGCTTACGCCGGCGGCCGGGAATAGACGCCCATACTCCCCTATTATCTACCTACTAATGGCAAGCATGCTCTAGAATATTAAAAATATAAATCATCAACAGAACCCCAGCGCCCATCTTGTCCGATATATCCATCTCACGCCGTACGTCTTAAGTATAATGCAAGAGGACCGAGTACGAATTTTGAGGAGTGTTGTGAACGTTGAGGTAAAGAGTACCCGAGTCGGTTAAAATAAATGGCTTTGGTACAGGTTTTGCTGAAAGCGAGCTGAGAGGAAAATTGGGAGATGATCAGGCCAATCAATTACTGTTGCGAAAGTATCGTAAAGAGCTTTTCTGTGCCACCTCTTATCGGTCGTTACCTAGGGTGCATAGACTTGTCCATCACTCGAGCTTAACAATATAAATCTTTTACCTACCTACCCAGTGAATCGGAACCGTGTAGCCTCTAGTCTGCCTAAGCCTTCTCTTGGTGCCACGTTCCGACGTCTATATGAGTTTGTGAAATCTGTGAAGAAGAAGGTGTATGAGTTAGTGTAAGACGAGCGAGGTTGTTGTTGTTGATATCGTTAAAAGGGGAGTGTGACGATGTTCGGGCAACGAACCTTGAAGCACAACTCTAATCTTCCTCATGTCGCCTAGTTGGGCATACTCCGAGAGTGTTTTCATCAGGCGCTCGCTTTCACCAGGCTTGACGGAGCGGGCTGGCAGCATCTGGATTGTGGCTTCAATCCAGCTTGCCGTTTCTGCGGGTAGGAGTTCGAAGCATGACATGAGAACTGCCGAAGCGTCTGGAAAGCAGTCACCGGGAAAAGTAAACATCATCCCGGTTAATACCCGTTGCACGAGAAAAGAGCCCTGTGACACCATTATTTGCTTCACACCTGCCCTAATCTCCGGTGAGTTCGTATAAACCTCGCCCTCCGGGGTTGTGAAGTTGGACACAGCCGGCTTTTCAAACCCAAAGCTGACCAAGTCACGGAGATATTGTAGGGTGGCGGTTAAAGGTTCGATCTGCTGAAGGGTGAGTGCGCTCAAAGCAGCAGAGAAAATGGGGACAGAAAGGTTTGATGTGACGGTATTTTTAGGGAAGAATCTGACTGCATCTGTTGCGAGTCTAAAGAAGTCCTCGATCACTAACAATGTATATTAGCATGGGCGGTGGCGAAAGAATGACGGGTTACACATACTGTCAGGCAGCTGTTCTGGAGGCAGGTCGTTGAGGATTCGGAGGAAGAGCACGACTTGCTGTTCGAAAAATTGATAAACAGCAACGCTCGTGGGGCTATCGACAAGTTCAGCCCCAGTTGAGAATTCTCGGACAATTGCATCCGTAGCCCAGAGGAAACATCCTTCTCTTGAAGCCTCGAAGCCAGAGGATATGTTTTGTGCAAGGGTCGGGAGGAGAGGGGCCATTGCATTGCGGTACGAGATAATCATGTATCGCCAGCATCGGCAGACCCTCTCGAGGATTGGAGTAGATTTCGTGAAATTCATAACGATGGTACTGAGAACGGGTAATATTTCTCCGCAGTATTTGACTCCAGGATTCTCTTTTCCTTGTTCGACATAAGGACAGACTACCTGGATGAATATTGCGATCAATTGCAAGTGATCTATAATGTCCACCTTTGTCAGTCTCAGTCCGTACTTGATCAAAAAAAGCTATACTTACCAGCCACGGCCTTTTGGCCCTCTTCATCTTTGGCGTTGTTGGCCAAGGTCATAATTCGAGTCATAAGCGGGTTGCAGAAAAGCTTTAGTCCTTCGTATATCTTTTCAACTGGTTGAACGGCGAGGACGGCTGCAACACCTTCGGTAACTTCCTCCTGGCTAGATGGCTTTAGACCATCGATAACAGATTCGTAGAATGTATGAAGCTGAGGAATGTGAGATCCAAGCAGCTTCTGGCAGTCAGTTCCCAAGAACTTGAAGGCAAGGGCTGCGGCTTGCACGACCTCCTGCGATTCGTGCTGGAATCCGGAGATGACATAATTGAGCTGTGCCTCCAGCGTCTCTGGATGCTGTGCAGTCCACTCCGTATATCTACCGAGGGCCATGATTGCCTGGAAACGGACCTTCTCCTGGTCTGGTATGCGCACGATGAGCGGGATGATTTCTGGTAGTACGTAGCTTTCTTCTGCTTCCACCATTCGTCCCATGGCACGCATGCTGAAAAGGGGTGCTTCGAGCTCTTGCCAGTGAGGGACGTGGTCGTGTCTGGCCTGGGGACCGTATTTGGCAACCCAGGCTTGAATAAGACTGTATGCCTTTCCAAGGCACTCAGAGACTCCGATAACTGCACAGCAATCCTTGAGCACATCCCCCATGGAATGTCGGAAGCTTCGGAATTTCTCTTCTTGCTCTCTGTCGCCGTCGAATAGGTCACTCTCATCTCCGTCAGAGGAAGGGTATTCTAAGTGTTTGATCATGACATCGACGAGTTTTGAGAACAAATCTCCAAGGGTAGCCCTGGCTCTTGCATAGCGCTCCAAAGTCAAGTATTGCTTCAGTTCATACCAGAAGACGAAGGTGATCGAAATGGCGTCACGGTCCTTGTCGACAGAACAACACTCTAGCACCGCTTCCACCAAATTCCTGAAGTCTGCAGGTAGGCGTGCAATTAGGAGCACCCAAGCCTCTGCGGCCTCTGCAAACAGTCGAGTGAGGCCGCGGAGCAGATCTACATCTTCGGCTTCCGCAGCTTCTCTGATTCTGGGCCTTAGGGCAATTATTCTGGGGTATAGAGCTTTGATGATGTCCATGGAGTCGTCGACTTCGAGGGTGTCTCTATAGATCATGCATATGCAGTCTACGGCCGCTTCAAAGGATCTTTCCTCCGCAAGGGCCTTCATGATGACGTCCATGAGTGGAGACTCAACGATCTGAGCTGCGGGTATCTCGCGCATCCATGAAGTAATACATTCCAGGAGAAGTGGATTAGTTGCGGCAGAAGCTATAAAACAGCAAATATATAGAGTTAGTAGTGCATTCAGTCGATCGTCTTTATTTAATTAAACAGGGGGGAGGAAAACCTACAAGAAGACTGAGAGTACTGTGTCAAAAGACCCAGGACCTGGCTTGCGTTCTCTTCCAAGAGCTCTTTTGTCCTCAAAGATAGCTCCTCTTCCTAAGAGTTACGCACGACTGATTAGATAAAAAGAACGATTTTCTCTGGCCGCAAAAAGGGGAGTTGATAAGACGGGTATATGCTGGTGTTGAATTTGCGCAAATGCGGTGGTGGATGGAAGGACAAAGGTGGGTGGATATGGTGTTTGAGCTCTGCCGGAACATACAGTCAGGTTGATTTTGCGGCCTTCTATGACCTCTTCCGGAAGGATCTTGAGGAATTCGAGAACACAGTCTCCGGCTTCGTCGCCGAGAGCAGCTCCCACGGTGGGCAGGACGTCCTTCCAGCTCGTCATCTGGATGGCTAGGGTGGCCAGGGAAACACATAGCTGTGTCCGTATGGGGCGCGGTCCAGATCTGTAAGTCGACAGTAGAGACAGTATAGACGTCCTTAGCTCGGGCTGAGCAGACTCGGGGAGCTGGTCGAGGTCGTATGTAATCTACCAGAAGCAGGCATGCACCGTCAGTCGTTGTGTTGCTTTATGTTGCTGGGGGGGTATCAGATGTATGTATAGATGGCGCGGGCCCTCACTTTTCCCTTGAGCGTCGTTGCAGCAAAGAGCTTTGCCTCGACCTGCGCATCGGCAGCCTGGAGAATCGCATGCGTCGCAGTCCATGCCTCTATCTGTTCGATATTAGAAACACGGCCGTCGTCTTTCGTCAGCCAGAGGAGCTTGTCCCCGGCCCATGGAGGGGTAAACGAGTGTATCTATGGGGATGGCTCAACTGATTTCTGGAACTTCTCGAGGAACTCGTGGGCGTGAGTCTTCTCCTGGCGAGAGGCACTGCCCTGCATCGTCGAGAGAGCTGCGAGCACCGGCGCAAAGGCCTGCTGCGGCGCTGAAGCACTGCTCGCTGTCGCCATGGCGCGGGCTCACTGTTTTCTATGCGGAGGATCGGTGCGGGCGGCAAGGGATCTGGCGAGGTAGCAGAGCTGGGTCTATCAGCGCTGGGCCCGCGGTCGTCATGAAGCAGAAAAACACTGAGATAGACGAAGAGAGGCGGAAGTGATAGATGCTCGTGGACGTTGTTGCTGGTGTTGGTGTTTGTTGTTGCTGAAGCCTCAGTTTTGTGCTTCCTCGTGAAGTTATTTGGTTATTTTTATGTTTTTGGTGATGGAGCGAAAAAAACCCACTTAAAGTCGACTCTCTCTTTCTCTGGTGAACATCGAAGTTTTCGACATCTTTTGACGGCAGCAACAAACAGCAGCAGCAGCTTCACTACGAGACAGCAAGAGGATTAAAGAGACAAAGAAGGAGAATAAGCAAAAGGAAGGAAAATGACCGGCCGAGGACAGCGAGGCGGCGCGAAGACGCTGCTGGCCCCCATCCACTTCATCTTCAAGCTCCTGCAGCAGCGGACGACGGTGTCGATATGGCTGTACGAGCAATTGGCGGTGCGCATAGAAGGGAAGATACGGGTACGCATGAAGCATACGTTTCTACTTATAACGAGCTGGAGCTGACTGCTTGTCATCAGGGATTTGACGAGTTCATGAACCTCGTGGTGGACGACGCGGTCGAGGTCAAGCTGGCGACGAAGACGGAGGCAGAGTCGAGGAGACAGCTTGGTAGGGGACAGGCACTCTTACTCCTGTCTGCTCTACGGCACAGTATGCTAACAGTCGGTGACAGGACAAATCCTCCTCAAGGGCGACAATGTCTCGTTGATCCAGACGGTGCAGTCATAGAGCCGACGGGCTGGGCTGTGAATGTGTTTACAAAATAACGGTTCAAAGGCGATTGGCGTTTTACGGGTACATGTCATGCTCTCTCTTTTTTTTGCTGCTATGAAGGGGCTCAGAAAGGGAAAAGGGCGAGAATTGAGACATTGTTCAGCTTCTCACGACTCGTCCATCACCTACGACCAGGCTATCGACGAGGTTGTCGTACTCTCCCACCGGCACCTCTTCTGGAGGCTGCAGGACCTGCTCGGCTAGACAGAAGGCGGCTATTAAGTGATGGGTTAGTGTGTCTTAACGGAATGAATGGTGTGCTGTGTGCTATGTGCTGTGTGCTATGTGCTGTGTGCTGTGTGCTGTGTGCTGTGTGCTGTGTGCTGTGTGCTGTGTGCTGTGTGCTGTGATTGCTGTTTGATCTCACCGAGATATGGCATCTTCCCCTTTCCCGCGCTGCTCCGATATCTGTTGATAAAACGGTCATAATACCCCTTTCCATGTCCCAGTCTCCGTCTGCCGTCGTCAAAGGCCATGCCCGGCACGACAATGAAGTCCAGGCCGCAGTCGTCACCGTGCAGGGCGCCGTCTTCGCCCAGTAAGCCGTCTCCTCCCAGACAGTTCTCCCTGCCGGCGAGCGAGCTGGCGTCCAGCGTAGGAATCCCCCATCCGTCGGGCTGTAGAGACTCGTAATCCTCGATCGAGCGCAGGGCCAGCATTTCCATGATCGACGACGGCTTCGTTTCAGCACTGCCTGCGAGCTTGTAGATGTACGGCACAAACACCTGCTTCCCGCGCCTAAAGGCGTCCCGCACGATGGCTGCCGTCATCATCTCGCCCGCCGGCATCGACAGGTAGACGCTGACCCGCCGCGCCGCCTGGTACTCGGGCAGCGCGAGCAGCCGTTCAGTGGCAAGAGAGGCTACAGTAGTAAACACCAGCCATTAATAACTGACCAACGTATCAAAGACAAGACAGATGTGCTGGTAGTAGATGTTTAGACGAACACTGAGATGCGACTGAGTCTGCAGAGACGCCCGCGAGGATCTTCTTGATCCTGCGCCTCATTTCCTTCTTCGCCGTGCTTATCGACGCCATCGCCGCGTACTTTCTGTCTGTCCGCTGCTCTTCTAGTTCCTCTTGCTTCTCCTGCTTCTGCCCGTTAATGGCTGGTTGACGCTGATTCCGTGAGTGGCGAGTCTTGGGAGGCGACCGGGGCCAGGGCACGACCGAAACATCGACGGGGGGGCCTGTTTTAATTAATTCTCTATCTATCGTCAGTAAATACAACCATCGCAGGGTTCAAGCAGCAACTCAAGCAGACGAGATCTCCTGCCGAGCTGTCACTCCATCTTCCCCTGCGCGAGATCTGGTCTGTCTCTCTCTGGCTGTCGCTGTTCGCTGCGGTTTGTTTGACGTCAACGAGACACAGAAAAAGGACGACGTAATAACCAATCTTAGGTGGCTCGTCCCTTTTTCGTGCTTTTTTCATCTTCGTCTTCGTCTTCTTCCATCTCTCCTTTTTTTCCTCTTCTTCTTCTTCTCCTTCTTGATTTCACTCGCTACCAAACGATTCTCTTGCTACCGACGATGAACTTGCTGCTGCTGCTTCCTCTCAGCCTGCTGCCGGCTGTCATGGCAGAGCTCGACCCCCGACTCGTAGGCACCTGGACAACCAAGTCGCGGAAGGTCGTAACTGGCCCGGTGCGTATACAAACTACCAGCAGGAGGACAGAGGGTAGAGGAACAGCGGACGGGACAGCTGGCTGACTCGCTTTCTGCAGGGCTTCTACGACCCGGTCAAGGACAGGCTGATCGAGCCATCGCATACCGGCATCTCCTACTCCTTCACCGAAGACGGCTACTTCGAGGAAGCCCACTACCGCGCCATTGCAAACCGTGAGATCTCCGCATAGCATACACCCTGGGGATTTTGAAAGGACGGACAGACTAAGGAGTGATTTAGCACGAAACCCGGATTGTCCAAGCGGGATGATGCTGTTCCAGCATGGGACTTACGACGTCAAGCCTAACGGGACGCTGGTCTTGAACGCCTATGCCTTTGAGGACGACGGCCGTCAGTTGATATCAGACCCATGCAAGGGAAAACGAGCAAGCTACTACAGATACAACCAGAACGAGACATTCAAGGTAGGATATATATATACATATATACAAGCTCTGCGGGACTGACATTGTTCTACAGAGATATGAAGTCATGCTTGATGAATTCCACAACATACAGCGGCTCAACCTGTACACACACGACGGCTCGCCCATGAACCGCATGTTCCTCATCTACAAGCCGCCCCAGATGCTGCCGACCAAGCATCTCAACCCCGTCGTCAAAGTCCCCCAACGACGAAAACGAGGCCTTCTAGAAAGCCAATTCGACGCTTCACTCAACAAGAATTCCATGCTCTCACAGCTACCCATGACCGCCAATGCTGACCGCTGGTGGTGGGTGGGCGTCCTCATGACCTCCATCGGCGGGATTGCGCTCATCTACACCTAGCCTTCTCGATCCTTTCTCTGCCACGGGTTATTTCTTTCCTTCTTCCTACGTTAGAGGGGAAAGACAAAGAGAAGAAACATACAAAAAGTTATATGATATAATGCACCATTTTGGATATAGATGGCGTTATGAACGGGCTGGCATCCCCCCGGGGGATAGGGGGGAGGTTTTATTTTCCATTATTTCTCTTTCTGGTCGTTGCCTCGGGAGGCTTATTGTTGATTCGTGGGAAGGATATTAATATCCCTTTTATACTTACTACCTGCGTCGGAGTAGTCGGTTGCTACATACAGCTGTACTTGTACCCCTTTTGTTGCTTTCCTCTTGTCCATTCTACTTCCTCTCGTCTGCATGGCGTGTTTTACTTTTCCCCGTCTTTCCTTTCTGTCCTGTTCTTCCATCGTTCTTCTTGCCCCTGTCTCGATACGTTCGACGGGTAATTGCAATGTTTAATTATCATCAGCATCGATAATGTTAATCCTTGTTACGCATTCAAACGCTGCAGATCTAGGAAGGGAGACAATAATGTTACATTTGGATTCATCTTCTAATTTACAATGTCGTCCCGCAGACTCGAGGGATGTATTACCACCAGGATATACATTCCAACCACATACTAACACCTCTCACAGGCTTCTCCTCGTAGAATCAAAGATTACTTCTGCTCCAGTGCCTTGACCATCTCTCCAGCAATCTTCGCAACCGTCGTCTTGCTCGCTGGCTTCCCGTCCAAAGCTCCGCCCGCTGCAAGCACCTTCTTCATCACACTTCCAATAGCCAGCTTCTCACTGGCAGCCTTGAGCTCTGCAATTGCACTCTCAACAGCGGCGCGGACAGCGTCTTCACTCACAGTCTCGACCTGTGCTGCGTATTCCTCAACCACCTTCCGCTCTGCCTCTGCCTTGGCCGTCAAGTCCTCACGTCCGGCAGCAGCGTACTCCTTCCCACTAGCTTCCAGGTTCGAGGCCCGCTTGCGAAGAATGTCGAGAAGACTGAGATCAGTCTCAATGGGCTTCGGTGTTTTGGCTGCGTTGTTCACTTCTGATATGATTCCGCGAAGGACGTCAAGTCTATACGGACAGAGTTAGCATTGGCTTCTATATAACAAGGAGGAATAAACTGGAAAGAAAGAGAGGATGATTATGACCTGACTTTGTCTTTCGCTCTCATGGCCGTCTTCAGGTCTGTCTTTATCTTTGCAAACAACGGGGCAACACCCGGCGTAGAAGATGTAGAGTAGCGAAGGGCCTGCCGCAGAAAGGGCGACTGGAAGCGGAATGACCGAATCATGCTGGGTGGTATAGCTATCTTTCTCTCTCTCTAAGTATCTGCAGTAATAGCGGTAGTTAACTCTGGTTCTTCTCTTCTGCTTCTTTTGATCTTCTCTCGTTGCATCAAAAGTTGAATATTTATATGTAGATGGCCCGTGCACCCAAGCTTCATCTTTTTGTGTTGCTCAAAAAAAGTCGCAGACGAAGAAAAGAAATCAACAACTTCGACTTCATCATTCCTTTTGCCATTCTACCACACAACTAACAGACCCAAGTCTCTTGCTTAGGGAGAGCCGTTGACGGTCCCTCGCTGTGGCCACCTGAATACCGTTCCCCTACTGGCAACAGCTTGCCCCGTGTGCCTGGGTGCTGCGCGACCATGAGCTTCCCGTTCACACCAACACCGAAGCCGCCAGGCACATATTTCCAGACTCCGGCGCCCTCGCGCTCTCATGGACCTCTGTTCGCCTCTAGACCTCTCTCTCCGCCCTCAGGCAACGTTGCGGGCTCGAATCTAGGTGCCTCTACCGCCGCTCGGCCCAAGATGCCTGCCCCAGAGATCAAGGCAAAGCCCGAATCAATAAGCCCACGAGAGCGAGCAGCGCGGACAATAGACGAGGCGCTCCTGCAGGAGTCGCGGTACCCGGATCTAGACAGCTATCTTTCTCGTACGTTTGCATTTCATTCTCCGGTGCTTGAAGTTGAACGCGTTTGCGCAGGATAGGACCGGCCAAGATACTAACGTTTAATTCATCAATTAGAGGGCTACTCTTCGGACTATGATATACCTAGCTCACCGGCATGGGCGCCGTTCCAGAAAGTGAAGATGTATAGGATTCCAGATCAGATATTCGATCAGTATAATCGTGCGCAGGTTTCAACCAGCATGGGTTTGTTTGCGGAGCTAAACCACGCCTGGGTTACAATCGACAATGCACTTTATCTCTGGGATTATACGCATCCAAATCCTCAATTGATAGGGTTTGAGGAACAGCCGAATAGCATCAACATGGTCAAGCTTGCGCGGCCTAGAAAAGGCGTGTTTCTGCCGGCTGTCACTCATATGCTTGTGATATCTACCACAGCTGACGTTTTCCTCATGGGACTTGCGTGTGAAAACACTGGCGGATATAAATCAGTGACTATATATCAGACTGGCATGTCTGTGCCTATCAGAGGGCTGGATATCAATGTCATTGCCTCATCAGACTCAACTGGACGAATCTTCTTTGCGGGGTCTTCAGACAATGATGTGTATGAATTGACATATCAGCAAGAGGAGCGATGGTTCCAGGGCCGCTGCAGCAAAGTCAACCATACAACCAAGAGCTTTACCGCCTTTACGCCTCAGTTCAATCTCCGGAACAAACCAACTGAGTTCGTGGAGCAGATGGTAGTTGATGACAGCAGGAACCTCTTATACACCCTGTCTTCAAACTCGTCTATTAGAGTCTTTCACCTGAAGGCCGATGGGTCCGTTAACCTTACGATCACCAAAACCGCCATCGACATCTATTCTAACATCGGCCATATCATTACTTCAAATGAAACACTCAACCCGAGGGTTAAGATTGTCTCTATCAGTCCCATCCCAGCCCCAGAGGCGTCCAGGTACCACCTTATGGCCACAACCGCTACCGGCTACCGAATCTACCTCAGTGCTACTGGCTCATACAGCTGGTCTGCCACCCCAAATGCAAACAATGCTCCTACCAGCATGCAGGCACAGCACGTTAAAACCCCCCCATCCGACTCTCCTTCAGACCAGGCCCCACAGGCTGCCCCAGTCCCAGGAGCCCCATTCCATACTACAGGGCCTTCGAAAGTCTCAATACATTCGTTAAACCCTACTAGCTCCGCCGAACGATTTCCACCTGGGTACTTTTTCTGTTTCACACAGAAAGGCAACGCCAACCAAGCTGATACATTGTTTATTTCTACCCCAGACTCCGGGAAGCTTGCACTACCCCGGGATCCCTCTACGCCTATAAAGCCAGAGGAAACTGGCATTTGGCTCACTCTTGGTAGCCGAGCGGAAGCAATCGGCCTCTACACCCCATATGACCAAGGTGGCCCAACGAACAGCGGCTTTGGAAACGAGCTGGCCGTCCAATTCGATAAACCGGCTGCTGAGATTGCTGTTTTGACCAACACCGGAGTTCATATTATCCGCCGAAGACGGCTCGTTGACATGTTTGCGTCTCTTATTCGTAACTCGGACGGAGAGGATGGATTAGAAGATCGTGTCCAGACATTTATTCGGATATATGGCCGAAGTGAAACCATTGCAACTGCATTGGCTGTGGCGTGTGGTCAGGGGATGGAAGTCTCACCAGACTCCCGTCTTTCACAAATCAATGATCCCGACGTTCTTGAGTTTGCTCGGAAGGTTTTCATTGAGAAGGGAGGAAAGGCAACCATCAATGAAAACGCGGTTACCGATGGATCTGTCCCTGCTATTGATACGGTTCTTCCTTCTCCTCGGCACGCGGGAATTGCATTGTATACCTCTAGACTTCTGCGGTCTATCTGGAAGACAGTAATAGCCAAGCAGGGACGAACGCCTGCTGGAGGCCTTTCCATATCCCCAGCCGTATCGACTTCTACCTTGCTCACCATTCAGCGTGATCTCTCTGCTCTCAAAGACTTTTTCAACACAAACCGAACATTCATCGAGGGCCTGAGCGGACCTGACGCTCTATCGAAAGTAGCAACAAAACAGGAGGAGGTTGCTTTACAGGCTGAGCACAGAGGTCTTCACTCCCTTGTACAGTTAATCTCACATACCATTGAGGGGATTTCGTTTATTCTCGTTCTTTTTGATGATAGAGCCGAGGACGTCATTGCCCTGTTGAATGAGGACGCCAGAAACCGTTTCTTGGAGTTGACCTTTGAGCAGCTTTTCGCCACTTCCAAGGGTCATGAGACAGCAAAAGAGCTTGTCAAGGCTATCGTTAACCGGAATATTGCCAAAGGGTCTAATGTTGAAACAGTCGCTGAAGCTTTGCGACGAAGATGTGGCACATTCTGCAGCCCTCAGGATGTTATTGTATTCAAAGGACAGGAACTTCTCAAGAGAGCCACTGAAGCTGGTCCAAACTCTGAGGTTGGCAGAAATTTGCTAAATGAGAGTTTGATGCTTTTCCAACAAGTGTCAGAGAGTCTCCCTATGGATTATTTGAAACCCAGCATTGAGCAATATATCCAAAATCAGTTCTTTGCAGGTATGTTGTCTCCAACCTTTTCTGGAAATGTCAATGTTCTAATGATTATGTAGGTGCCATACAACTTGCTCTCAGCGTAGCTGCTGATTCTGATAAAGCAAATCATGCTCTTTCTTGGATCATGGATGGAAGACCGGCAGAGGTAAGGATGGAACCATAAACAAAGTGAAATGTCCATTCATTAATAGCTTGTCTTTTAGGACCCTCGAAAGGATGCTTATGACTCCCGACAGCAATGCTACGACCTCATCTACAAGGTCATCCTTGCTGTGGATGAGCTTTCCGAGCAGGACAACTCCGAAGGCCCCTACAGCCTGATCTCACGAAGAAGAGCTGAAGCATATGACGTTATTACCACCTCGCGGGACGAGGTTTTCCTCACGAGCCTTTATGATTGGTATCTCGCACGCGGATTGAGTGACAGACTCCTCGAGATCAGGTCTCCATTTGTTGCTACCTATCTTGAGAGGAAGTCGACAGAAGATATATTCCACGCTGACTTGCTATGGAAATATTACGCACAGTCAGACCGATTTTATGACGCAGCTGTTGTGCAACTTCAACTTGCGAAGAGTCCATTCAGACTTACTTTGAACCGGAGAATCGAGTACCTGGGTCAGGCAAGAGCAAACGCGTCTGTACATTCACCTGATGTTGGACGAGCAGCGCGACAGCGTCTCCAGCACGAAGTCGAGGAGCTCCTAGATGTTAGCCATGTTCAAGATGATCTATTGCAACGCCTCAAGGATGATCCAAGACTAGACAATGATCGCCGAGCTGACGTACTAGAGATCATGAATGGAGGCATCATGGAGATCAGCAAAGTAGGCCCCCTTCCTAGCCCCATTTTTGCATTTGACACTGACCATATTTGCCATTATAGATGTATAATGAATACGCAGCTCCTGGAAACTATCATGACATTTGCCTTCAAATCATGTACCTTGCAAACCACCGCAATGCTTCCGACATCACCACTACCTGGCAGGATCTGATCCAAGGAGTCCATGAGGAGACCTTGAAGAACGGAACACCTCTACCCTATGAAGCTGTCATCGAGAAGGTCCGCAGTCTGGCACTCAGACTTAGGATGTCTGACGTTGCTTTCCCAGTCAAAACCCTCCTTCCAATGCTAGAGCGTTACAAGCTTGAGCACCAGAAGAACGACGGACCTCCAACCTGGGTTGTCGACCTTTTCCTCGAGCTACAGGTCGAACCAGAAGTTCTATATACCGTCCTTGAGTCCTTGTTTTACAATGACGAGGTACCATTCCACGGGGCTAATAGAAAGTTCATTGGTAATGACCTCGCATACCTAATCTCAAGGTGGTTCAACGAAACCTCCCGTCTCGGTGGTGCTGCTTTTGGAAGTGATGTGATTGCCACGAGGGTTTCTGAAATGTTGCTCTTACTACAGCAGTCTCGATTGGATAAAGATGTGGTGCAAGCATGCCGAGACATGAGGGTCAAGCTCGAGCAGTCCTTCCGATAAATTATGCGTTCTACAGCCACCATACCAGCGCCGTTGCATATGCCATGTTCTATGTCTTTGTTTATTCTAATGTACTTTCAAATCCTCTCTCGCCTTTTAGAGGCTTATGTTGATTAACACTATGTCTTTTTTTCCTTTTCCTTAGTTAATATTCAGGACGGGGTATTGTTGGGAAGGGCGTCTTAAATGATTGGATTTTAGATCAGCTAAGACCTTTTTTTGATGTTCCAGATGCATATAAACCAGCTTTCGATGGAAGGCCTAAGAGATGTGTGCCATACAGCTGTTCATTAGCTCATCTACTACTCTATACGCTCTTGCTTCCTTTTTATTGTGGTTATTCAACAACAAATCTACAGCTTCAGGGGCTGAAAATATTGGTCATGTGACCCCAAATTGCTTTTGTAGGACCAATTTTGCAACAGCACGTCCTTCAATATCTTGACATCAACACTTCCATTTAGTCAATATCTTTGCCTATATATATACAATGGCTGGCAATAAAAGCCACTCAAGCGGCCAGAAGCCAAAGGGCTCATCCTGGAGACGTACTGCTGATTATGTCTATGCTTTCTTCTTCATACTCCATATTGTGATTATGTTTAGTACGTCTTGGTTCATATCCAGTACCGCTTTGTACAGGCCAATGGAGGCTGTCCATCTTCTATGACGAAAAGACGACAGCATTAAGATACCATTGCTGCCAGGATACTAACTAGAGCCCTATTTAGTGGTTGATTTGGTGCCGTTATACCCCGATGCCTTGAAGCCAGCATTCCTCGACGACATCCGCAGCTTTTATATCAACACTTACCAAGACAAATTCTTCACTGACCCTCCGGCTTGGTTTGGAAGCTATGTCGTTATGGAGCTTGTTTACCATGTCCCAGCAAGTATAATCAACGCCTCTAAACTTTTGAACGGTAAGCAACCTTGTATAGCCTTTGGATAATAGAAATAAAACATAAGCTGACATCTAGTTATAGACGACTCATCCGCACCACTTCATGTGCTTGTATGGGCCATTCAGACATTCGTGACTACCTTCACTTGTGTAGTGGAGGTGTGGAGTTGGGTCGACCGTACGACTGATCAGAAGATGAATATCAGTCTACTCTATGTTCCCTATATGATATTCGGTGAGCCCATATCATTCTATTCCTACTATAATTTCACTAAAGCTAAGAAAACCACAGCTGGTCTGGTCGGACTGGACATGTTTGTCCGTTTAGGAAACTCTTTGAAGAAGCTCAAACGGGATTAAAGACGGTATTTTTCAACGCGTGGTAGAGTTAACTACGGCAGATAGATATGGTTCATTTCCACACCAAACACCGAACAATATAGTGAGTGTTTACATTGGTGTCATGTAATAGATACGATAGAGAGATGCAAATATAGAGATCGTACCATTTTCCTCTCTTTCCGCACCATCTCGTACTCTCCTTCATCCGACTTGTCGATGCTGCGTCTTATCTATGGTTCGGGTAAAAGGCTTGGCGCCCGCTACCTTATGCGTCACGGACTCAAAGCGAGCTTATCAGATCGGGGATCGTCGTAAAAAAGTATTTATAGCGACGCACAACAACAGCGTCCTTTTTCTCGCGCATCGTTATATATATGCAGCTCCTGTCGGATGCGTCAGTCGTTTCTGTGCCCTTGCTCATGCCCGAGTGAGATGTTACGATGGGTTGCAAGGCAGCACTCCAGCTGCGGCTGCTCCTCCACCAGGTAAGGGAGCTTCACCACATCCTTGTCCACCGCTGCAGCTAAAGCCGAGACCCAGCTGACTCTTCTCCAGCACAATAGCTTTCCATGCCACAGCTATGGCTACTTACCTTCATTGAAACGGCGATGCCTTTCTCACTCTACCCCGGCCTCGCACCCCTCGCTTCTTCACCGAATCCATGCCCATACTCAATACCCCGTCGAGATCCCCGACCAGCTCGGTCATAGTGCCAAGGAGAAGGAGGAAGATAAAGTCAGTGCTATATGAAATCCTCGAGACAAGAGAATCACTCTAACCCCTCTGGCTACAGGAATTCTTCCTCGACCTCCTAAGCACTGCAACCACAAAACGCGAAGCCAAGTCGTACCTGTCCCGGTTCACACCTCCTCAACCACCTTCAATCAGTGCGCAGCAGAAAGACGAAACCAAAGCCAACGCACAAGCTCCGGACTTGGAGAAAATATACTCAGAAGCATCCATTACGCCGTCTACTCAAGAAAACCTATCGACAGTGTATGATGTATCAAAATCTAAGGATACAATCGCGGACAGCTTGCATGTTGCTTTGGTGAAGATTAGATCCCCAGAGTCATTGGACGACCAGTGTCTTCATGGCATTTCTAAGACTCTATCACAACTAAGCAGGCTTGCCATGGGCTGCTGTATTGTACTAGAAGTCAATAATCCCGGGAACGATATCGACTACCGACAACTTGCAACCGCCCAAGCAAGCCGCGTTGCTGCCAAAATTGACCAAGTTCATGGCCTAGGTTCACGGCGACTAGAATCAGCCGTATCTCTGGATGAATCCACCCATGAGCTATCTATATTGTCGAGAAATGCCCTTCTTTCACCACTTTCTCGTGGCCAGATAGTCGTGGTTGACCCTATAGGGTACACAGTAGATACTCCGAAAGCTCTCCCAGTTGCAGCAGATGAGCTCATATTAGCATTGACAAAAGAGTTAGCTGGTCCAGCATACAACTCCGGTCTAAATGAGGTTGACGCCAAAACGACCCAAAAAATCCCGCAACGGCAACAAGATATATCGGTTGAAAGATTGATCATTCTAGACCCGCTGGGCGGCATTCCATCCCTGGGCCGGGGATTGCATAAATCTCATGTGTTTATCAACCTTGAACAAGAATACGAAGATATCCAAAATGAGATAACCCAAGCAACCACTAACCCACCAAATTCAGCTCAAGACGGACTCCAGACCGGATTGAAAGGCCACCTGGCTAACCTAACCTTACTGCAGAAAGCGCTTGCTCTCCTTCCCACCTCCTCCTCAGGTTTCATTACCACTCCTCAGGATGCAACAGCCCTATCTCTAAATCAGCATGACGCCTACGGAGCACCGACTGTAGGTACTCGCCAGCGGCGGAATCCTTTGATACATAACCTCCTCACGGATAAACCGGTTCTTTCGGCATCGTTGCCAGCCAGACGCCGCGGCGGGGAAAAGGGTGATCATGTCTCTAGCAACCAATCGTCTCATCCAACATTTGTGAAGCACGGTATGCCGCTTATCATGATACCTGACCCACGGGTTAAATGCTGGACTGCGGCCCACAACGAAGGCTCCCGCATAAATCTAGACGATCCTGCAATAGATCTACCACGACTAGTCCATTTGATTGATGACTCATTTAGCAGAAAACTGGACGTTAACCATTATCTGAATCGTGTGAAGGATCGGCTAGCAGGCTTGATTATTGCCGGTGAATATGAAGGAGGTGCGATTTTAACTTGGGAACTTCCCCCGGGTGTCCCTGACGACGGCAGCCCTGAAAGCATGTCCCGAATGGTCCCTTACCTGGATAAATTTGCTGTCTTAAAAAGAAGCCAAGGGGCAGGAGGTGTTGCTGATATCGTCTTTAACGCCATGGTACGAACTTGTTTTCCGGAAGGAGTCTGTTGGAGAAGCCGAAAAAACAACCCAGTTAACAAGTGGTACTTTGAGAGATCGAGAGGGACTTGGAAGCTCCCAGACTCGAATTGGGCGATGTTCTGGACCACCGATAATGTCCCAGAAAACGAGCAGCTTTTTGAGGATTATGAGAGTGTCTGTCGCTCAATCCAACCGAGCTGGGCAGATAATAAAAAAGAAGTGGATTAATATCCGGAATGATCTATATACGAAAACTTGCTCTCTGGCTATCTTAAAAAAGCTTCAATATATATTTACCTGATATGAATATGAATCTTACTGTGGTTTTCAGGGAGAAAAAACATATAAAGTATCAGGTACTAGTTAAGAAGCCTTTTTGACTCTGTTCAGGGCATATATCCAGCTGAGCGACTTGGCAAGCTGGGTAGCTAATTTTGAAGCAGCTAATTATATTGGCATCTTCGGAAAATACCCCTGGGTAAAAGGCAACGGATACGTCCAACTACCGTATTCGCGAACTAATGCTGGGCCGGCGGTATAATACCAGAACTACTGTGGGGCGGGGAGATTCCGTACCGGTGATCATAGGTATAAATATCTCTGCTTGGCCCATTTCCCGACGCCTCTGGCTAAGTTGCCATATATTTTATTGCCTTCAACTGTTACTCTCTTTCTACGTGGAGTCATGTCTCTCCAACGTCTTAAGTTTATCCTGGCTTACATTCGGATTTTGATACCTCATGCATGGGTCCTGCTCTCCGACAAAGCAAAGGGACTCCTTCACAAGCTGACATACCGGACGACCAACTCTTGCAAGAATGTGGTTGTTATTGGAGGCTCATTTAGCGGTGTTTACTTAACTCAGAAGCTGGTTCAATCTCTCCCTACCGGCTACAGGGTAGTTTTGGTTGATAAGAACTCGCACTTCAACTATACTTTCAATTTCCCTCGCTACTCAGTGTTGCAGGGCCATGAGCACTTAGCTTTTATCCCATACGATGGTATTACCAAAGGTGCTCCGACCGGTATATATCGTCACGTCCACGGGCTTGTTACCTCTGTGACTCGGGATGCAGTGACTTTGGCGACACGCGAGGAAATCCCATATACCTACCTAGCCTTTGCAACTGGTGCAACGCAGAAGCCTCCCGCAGGATTGCTAGCAACTGAGGCCTCCACAGGCTGTGTCGAATTACAAGATAGACAGAACTTCATCAAGAAAGCGAACAAGATTGCCGTCATCGGTGGCGGAGCAGTGGGGGTCGAACTGGCAACTGATATCAAGAGCTATTATCCAGACAAGAGTGTCACATTAGTTCATTCGCGCGAACGCCTTCTACCGAGATTTGGCGGTCAAGTACATGAGAAAGTGATGGCAGCACTCCAGAAACTAGACGTCGAGGTGTGGTTGGGGGAACGACCTCAATTGCCTTCAGGCGATAAAGAAGGATGGTCGGGACAAACAAAGGATCAATCCCTGCTTTTCTCAGATGGCAAGGTTGTTGCATACGATTTAATTGTAAGAATCACGGAGCAGATGTGTCCGAGCCTTTTCCGTTCCTGTCCTAACACACAAGTCACATAGGTCCCTTGCACAGGGCATCGTCCGAACTCCGACCTTTTGGCCAACCTTGAACCAGACGCCATCTCCAGCTCCACTGGCCGTATCCTTACCCAGCCAACCCTTCAGATCACCAGCAAAGATAAGCAGAATCCCAGAGTGTTTGCATTTGGTGACGTGGCCGAGACGGAAGGCACCCTGATGGCCCGATCAGCATATTTCCAGGCTCGAGTAGTGGGAGAGAACATTCTTAGCATGATTCGAGGGAATGGCCCGACGGCAAAATACGTGCCAAACCTCGCCATTGAGGGGGCACTAAAATTAACCCTAGGCAAGGTAAGATCTCTCCCACAATGCCGTTAACTGTGGATTGTTACCGGGTGAGAAAAGTGCTAAATCCCCTTATTGATAGTCGGACTGGCTCATGTATATGAAGCCCGCGAATAAGGACGCAATTATCAACTCCGGCAATAACGGTGACGAGGATTTGGATATACACGTAGCGTGGAAACACTTTGGTGGAGATATCAAGAAAGCTCGCGACTTGGCTGAAAAGTTGAGCTTGGTACAGTAACTAAGTTACCATATTGTACAACACTTCCGGATATCCATATGAGTAGATCGGACCTGTTCATGTGTTCCACCAATATTTATCTGATCCTTTCCTTCGGTCAATTTAGGCGAATCATCGCTGCCTGACGTTTAGAAAGACGAGATGGGCAAGTGCGGTTAAAGAGAGCAATTTCCTTTTTTAAGTTGTTGCAGGTGGGTCCATACAAACCTAAACTTGTCTTATCTGATTGATGATCTGATAAGACAATCTTAACAAATAAACTCCTGCTACAGCCGCAAAAGTACGGAGTATCCATATTGATCCTTGACAAAGTCTTTAAGTTCTCGGACTTCGTTTTCCCTCGAATCATTTATCCTATCTTCTCACTGTCTTCCACCACTTGCAAATATTTATTTAACCTTGGGATATATTTTCAAATTGGCCAGAAAAGAATGTCTTTCTTGGCTATGCTAGCTACCTAAGGTACCTAGGTTAAGCAGCCAAATATAAAGAGTAGGAATGATCACTCTTGTGTCGCTTTCTTTTTCATGCTAACCCAACAGCCTTCACCACTGGACACGACTAATGTCAGAGTTTGCTTTTCTTCTCCCAGTGCGCTTGGGGCCTTCTTTTCTGCCTTTTCAATCGTTTCAAATGTCTGTAATAATCTAACGACCGTATAGCCTACCTCCAATAGCGCAAACTCTTGGCCTAGACATATCCGTGGCCCTCCATTAAAGGGCAAATAGCCATAACCTACATCCTTGAGTGCATCATTCTCCCAGCGTTCGGGTCGGAAACAATCAGCATCGGGTCCATAGATGTCTTTACGGCGGTGCATAGCATAGACACAGTACCCAACGGCTTCACCTCGCCGGACTAGAAGTGGAGCTGAACCATCCGGACCACCGCCAGTTGGGAGAGTGGTTGTCTTTACAGCCGCACGAGAGTTTACGGGAACGGATGGATACAGGCGAAGAACTATTGACCAGTGAGTAAGTCTAATGCTCAATGATACGCTGGGCAAGAGGGAATCACAAACCTTCCTTAATGACCAGCGACAGGTATGATAGTTTCTTAACCTGGCTAATTGTGGGATCTGGCGCATCTGGGCCGATGCCGATTATATCACTGACTTCATCACGAAGTTTAGATAGAACTTCTGGGTGCTGGATCAGCAGACGGCTTCATTGTTTCATGTGTCAGCGATGAATACTTTTTGCGACCAAAGACTTGCAACTTACAGAGTCCATGTGAGACAACAAGCCGTAGTGTCCCTTCCAGCCAGGAGGATATTCAGACACTGATCCCTTAGGACACTAGGTTCACGGGTTTCTTGAACAAGAGCATCGATAAACACATACGTATCCTTTTCTTCTTCCGATGCTTTCTTTTCGCGGGAGGAATGCTCAAGCGCCTTTTGAACAGCATTATCTATAAAATCATGGCACAATTTACAGGCGTTCCTAAACTCTCGGCCTCCATAAAGCCAGTATAGATCACCTAGCCGCCCTCGCTGAGCGAGGTAGTCCTGTCCTAGGTTGAAAGCGTTTGCGAATTCAGATTCCTGTCCTGTGATGCCTTCAGACCGCAAAGATGGTAGGTAATGTCCAAATAATAGGAAGAGGGTTGTTTCGAAGGTGAGACGAAAGAAGAGGGGCTGCAGGTCAACGACTCCGGAGTTAGGTACGCTCGAAATGAGGTTGTTCACAGCATGTTTGATTTGTTCAAAATTACGGAATCGGTTGGTCATGAATTGGGGACGTAAAAGTTCACGTGAGTGTTTCCATTGCGACCCATCTTGGGTGAAGATGCCGCTGCCTAGTAAAGGTGCGAAGGTTGGAGGCCTCAATCCGAGACCAAAGTCTTTTCGGACACCAATTAGTTAGAGGTTGGAAACGATGTTTCATATAAAACTGTTACCAACCAGTGAATTGCGTGGAGAGGACGGCCTCAATGTTCTGGGGTTCAACTGTGTCTATTCCTCGGGCAAAAAGGAGGTTCTGTTCGAAAGTGTTTCCCGAAGCTGCAACCTCGTCGAGGAAGAGTTGGAGTATTTGCTGCCTTTTTTCATAGCGAACTGCTTTTGCAAGCATGTCAATTCCCAGTGGCCATTTTGCACTCCATTTTCGAGGCGGCTTGCATCCCTTTGATGCAGCAAACCGTTCATCCTCCTGTATTTCGTGTCAGTACTCTGTACAAATATATGTAACTATTGTCCAATATCAAGGGCTGGCTTTATTTAAGCGCTGAGGCAAAATAACGAGGTAACTTGTTGGTGCAACTTACACGTGACTGAATATACGATATGACAAGTTTGTAACATATCAAGGGAAGAACCAAACAAGTAACGATAAGACTGAGCATTTCGCGCGCAAAGAGCATATAAATGGGTTGTTTACCTTGATCTCAGCCCAGACAGAGGATAATCACAATGATGGCCTCGAACTGGCCTGGAGGCCGTGTCTTTTTAAAGCGTTCCTGGAGAACCATACCCCTGTCATGTTTTAATTCTAGCCAGGATGCGAAGAATAACCCGCCCCTAACCAGTGACAAACATGCACAATGCAACAGATGTCACGCCCTAGCATAGGCACCTGGTAGCAAGTCTGGGATGTTGACATCTTAAGCCACAGAGTTGATTGGCTCCCAAGGGTCCGTGGGTTTCCCGTCTATGCACTGTCAAGTGGACAAAAATAGCTGCCGCGGGCACGGCGCGAAGGACCATTTAGCCCCAATCAGAGACGAGACACTCGCCGGCCTGGGGATAAGCCTAAAGACGTTAACAGGCATGCCCGCAAAAGGAGCGAACTCCTCTGTTAACAACTTGACCAAAAAGTTAATAACCGCATAGCTACTGAAGTTGAGCATCGATTAAGGATAACTACACCTAACTAAGGAGACTGGCACTTCTTGCCTGATGACACTTTCCATGGATTAACTATGGACCCATTATCTATTACAGCTGGTACTGTTGGCATTGCGGACGTCTGTTGGCGCGTTATCAAATATCTCAAAGATCTCTCTGCCGCCGTTGCTGGCATCCAGAAAGAAATCAATAGCTTGATCGCAGAGGTTGAGTCCCTACAAACGGTTATTCGGTCTGTCGAAGAAGCATTTCAGGGAAGCTTCGCTAAATCATCCAGTGAATCACCACTGAGAGCGGCAAACCTCCAGAACCTTTGGAGGGATTTTAGAAGGAGTCTCGAAGGATGTCAAAGCCTTGCAACAGATCTCGAACGTCTTGTTCAAGAAATATACGGCAAAAATGGCTCCAAAGTCACTGGCAAGTTTGATGGGCTGAGCAAAGAGAACCGCAGACGGGACAAGGCTGCCAGCTTGCAGAGAGTCCGTGAAAAGCTCACGACTGAGAAAGACAATCTCCAGATTCTGCTTACTGGAATCAGCTTGTGAGTATAATAAAATATATCCACTGTAACCGATACCATGTTTAATATGGAATGTTGACCATGTGGTTAGGTATAATCAACATGTCTCGCAAGATACCCTGGTGCAAATGTCCGAAGACTTACGGTCTCTAGACCAAGACTTCAAGTCACAAATAATGTCCCTGGAGAGAAGAATCCAGCTGTCCAATGGTATCGGTACGGAGCCAGACCAGGACGACATATCTACACTGTCCAGAATCAAGCAGTTCCGCAATTCGGTTCGATCTGTCGCTGCTGCGGTTTCGATTACCACTCCAAATAAGTTTTTTGACGTTCCGCAGCCAGTGAGCAGCTTCTACACCGGCCGAACGATGTACTTAGAGAAACTTCAAAATATACTTTTCTCGCCGGTAACCTTAGAGTTGGCACCCAAGCAGCTTCGATTTGTTATATACGGCATTGGTGGTTCAGGGAAAACACAGTTCTGTTCAAAGTTTGCGGAACAGAATCGAGACTGGTGGGTCTCCCAATTCTACGCAACTTCTTGATAGAGCAGCACATAAGAGCTAATCTTTGATATTCAGCTTCTGGGGAGTTTTTTGGATTGATGCTAGCTCTCATGAACGAATCAAACAGACTTATGCTGAAATCAGCAAGCTTGGTGATGTTGAACCAAACCATAATGCTGCGATGCACTGGCTCTCGAACCGCGAAGAACGGTGGCTCTTAATTATGGATAATGCTGATGATCCCCACATTGAGTTGTATGAGTATTTCCCTAAAGGAGATAGGGGTTGTATCATCATTACAACACGAAATCCTGCACATAAGGTGTATGGCAATATGGATCCTGGCTTCTTCGAGTTTCATGGCATGGAGGATGATGATGCACGAGCTCTTCTCCTACGAGCTGCTCGATTATCCGAACCTTGGGATGCTGATTCCTCATCCTGGGCAGTTAAAATCACTCGGCAACTTGGATTCCTCGCACTCGCTCTAATCCATGCTGGTGCTGCAATACGAAATGGCCTATGCACCCTGAAAGACTATCTTGCCTTCTACGATAAGAATTGGGAACGTATTCGCCGTACCCGCAGGCTATCCATCGACTCTGAAGATCGACGAGATGACTACATGAGTGCCCATGCGACGTATGAAGTCTCTTATAGTGGAATCGCAAGGAAAGGAACTGAGTGTGCAGAAGATGCCATCCAATTACTCAAGATCTTTTCCTTTTTCTACTTTAAGAACATTCGATTTGACATCCTGAAGAAGGCGGTAGTCAACTGTGAGATCGAGAGGGTGGAGCAAGCAAAAAGGGACAGACAGGAGGCAGAAAGATCACTAACTTGGTATCAAAAGTACAAGTCAACACAGCTTGCTATATTGAGTTATTTGATGCAAGATCGAAGCCCGCCTGCGTTACCTTCTTCCATTCGAGAAGGTAGAGCTTCCGGGTTTTTTGATGAGGTACGAATGCGCTACGCGCTAAGAGAACTCTTACAAATGTCCTTGATTACCCACCATGAGTCTAGTGACAGTTATTCGATGCATCCCTTGGTCCATAAGTGGGCACGGGAAAGGCCAGATATGAGCGCATCAGAACAGGCTGTTTGGTCACAAGCTGCAGCTACAACACTTGCACACTCCATTCTTCTTCCACCTCTTGGAGAAACGGAAGACGACGAAATCTTTCGCCGAGATGTCCTCCCTCATATTGACCACGTACAGAAATGTCTACAGGGAGTAAATGACAAAATAATTGGTAACAGAAAAACTCGTTGGTACGGGTTGATGGATTGGCCAGGCGCCGGATCGAGGTTTGGCAGAGCTAAGGCAGTGTTGTATGCAAAATTCAGCATTGTATTTGCACAAAATGGGCGCTGGAAAGACGCTGAATTGCTTCAACTTGCCGTTAAACAGTTTGCAGAGAGCGCTCTTGGGTTGGACCACGCTGTCACCCGGCGCATAACCTTAGCTTTGGCGTTAACATACTGGAACCAGGGGCGAGGTGACGAGGCTGCAGACCTACAAGATGCAGTTTTACAGTCTTGTATGTCATCTCTAGGCTCCAACAACCATGAGACATTGATGGCCATGGATCTTCTTGGCCAAGCAAGATGGCAACAAGGAAGATATAGCGAAGCAAAGATGCTTCAACAGCACGCAGTCGACGGCATGGTCAAAATCCGAGGTTCTCACCATGAAGATACCCTTACTGTTATGGGAAACTTGGGTCGAACCCTTACGAAATTCTACGAAAACTTGGATGAGGCGAAGCAACTGTTGACGCAGGCCCTTGATGGAATGAAGGAGATCCTTGGTCCCACTCACTTGAAAAGTTTGGCAGTGAAGGAAGAAATAGCCATGGTCAATGTGCAAATGGGAGAGCAATTGTCTCAATCTGCCACAATAATTGAGGAGGTTCTTGAATGTCGCAAGGAGAAACTAGGGAAGGAACACCCATACACGCTTCTCGCCATGGTCAATCTAGCACGAGTGAATATCGCGCTAGGCCTATATGATGAAGCAGAGTTGCTCGTACTGAAAGGGCTAGAGGTTGCGGATAGAAACCTTGGCCGTAAACACATAGGAACATTAATGGGAAGGACAGTATTAGGCGTCATACTGACCTACCAGTCTCGATTCGATGAAGCGGAAGCCACTTTGCTTGGGGTAATTGAAAACCTACGAAACCTCTCATCCTACCGAGGCGATTTCCATCCTGATCGACTGGGTGCGATGATTGAACTTGCCAAATGCTATAAGCTACAAGGCAGATATGATGAGAGCATTAAACTCTGCGATGAAACCATTACAGGACTGAGCAAGATAAGTTTGAAGGAGCATCCACTCGAAAAGAAAATGAAGAGATTGAAAGTGGAATTAATCGAGATGAAGAATAGCAACAAGGAAGGGAAGGCAATTGGCAACTAGAATAGGCAAGAATAACTCAATGCACAGTATCTATACCAGCAAAGCTAGCTACGCCGCAATAAAGCGTAGAGTCTTTATCAAGCCATCATGCTAGTTACATCAACAGTACTGAAGCGACGTGGAAACTAAAAATATGCCAATTTAAGGTTTTAAGCTTTCATGAAATGCACGGGCCACTTTTCTTTTATCGCAAAGTTGGGAAGCGAAGAGAAATCCCAAAGAAGCATCGCAACAAGAGATACAAGATCTGTGCTTATATTATGCCTCTTGAAAATGAGGAGATGAAACGACAATGCCAATATGCATAGAGTGCTGTTACCCTGTTTCCCACCTTTACACCTCGTACAGCAAGGCCGATGATCGTGCGTTGGGCAAGGGAGTCCGTCTAACACAATGTGCACGATGTCAACGGTTTGCGGATAAATATGTCGAACACGACTTTGTCGTACTCTTTATCGACCTAGTTCTGATTAAGCCGCAGGTAATGCCCCTCATCTGTACTTTTCGTCATACGATTTTACTGATCTCTGCGATTGTAGGTCTACAGACATCTGCTATTTAACAGACTTGGGCGGGACGACGACAAATTCGATGTAAGGAACATTGACCTCCGTCGATAACTGATATACACGATTGCTTACTGAAGATTGGATGCTCACCATAGCGCTCGATCATCCGTCTTGGGATCCTTATCCTCCTTTTTGACGTGTATCTGTCATGGGCACGCATCGAGAAGTCTTCCGCGATCGCCTCATCGCGGCTCGGAAACACTCCAATAATAGTGCAATATGTCTTTTTCCTCACGCTGAACGCCCTCGCGACCCTCGCACATCACGTCACGGTTCGATTTCTGGCCACGATTCTTGTCCTGAAACCTGCGACGCAATCTCAGAGGATCCATGAAGCTCCACAGCGTGCGAATACTCTCCCGTCATCACCATCCGACGCTTACGCAACTGGAAATGGCATACCAGCGCACTTTGCAAACCCCGGCCCAATAGGTGGATCAAGTGCTACTGACCTGGCCCGGTCGTCGTCCGGTAGCGATACTGTTGCCGACGGGACTCCGAATGCTGCACCGTTACCTACACTCTCTGTGGAAACTGACTTCCCTCCGCCTCTCAGAAGATCATCTACCGCACCTCCACAGATACGGCCAATCCCACCTCCGGCACTTGCTAGTCGAAATGCAATAAGCACGGCTCTCCTGGTCAGCAGCTGCACTAAGCTGTTCCCAATACTTCTTGTCATTTGGGGTACGGATGCGTCTGGGGAAGCTTCAGGTGCATTGGAAACCTCATTCCCGCCTGCTAGCAGCGGTAACGGGGCGTCAGCCTTAAACTCTTCCACTTGGTCGTCGCAATCTCTCCAATCTGTTGTCCAGAGTGCGCTCTTGACGCTAGCCCAGCCGTGGTCATCACTTCTTTTGTCTGTGACGAATACCCACCTGGTACTGTTAAATAACACCGAGGCACTGCTTATTCTCTTGGACTGTGGCTATACATATGCCATCATGATGACCCTTGGGGGCCAGTTAGCTAGATGGGCTGTAGAAAGGTGTTTCTTAAGCCTTGTTGGGTTGTAATACATGATATACGGAGCCTGTGAATGAACATATAATAATCAGTATGGCTGAAATGAAAATTAGAATCTATCTGTAATATATAACCGCCAAATACTCTCTTGGTATGAAAGATACCCGTATAAGAAAAATGATATTATCCAGTGATATATAATGCTACAGTTCCTCGTCGAAAGGAAAGTCTGATAGTAGGAAAGAAAAACGCTGAAGAAAAATCCCAAGGAACTAAAACAATATCAACATCTCGAATACCCGTATTTGTTCGTCGATCAATTAGCATGGTGTGGTCTTCTGTCACTGCTCTTCGGCTCGAATAATGGGTGCAGTTGCGCGAGGAATGTTACGGCTATAATAACGGATATTAGCCTGGGGAATTAAGAGCATTAATGAGGCTAGAGAAGGTATGACTTACCCCACATAATATAGCAGAATGTGAATGCGAGAATCAACGAGCTTCGCCATACCCTGTACGTTCGATAGGTTAGCCTTGTACCCCAGGTGCAACTGTTTTCCCTGTGGGAGAATTGCGCGTATACTGCTGATAGGCACATGCACAGCAACGTCGATATGATCGTATGTAGACTGGTAGGTATATATAGAGAAATAGGGCCAGGGGACTAACGGTCTAGTTTCTCCCTTTGGACTGAATACCCATGCTAGCGAATTTGCAAGGACGACGAAAACGAGTCCGATGATGACGTTCCAGCTAAAACAACACAAAACAACGTTAGCGCAAAGGCCTTATAAAGAGCAAGAGGAAGCGATGTCTGTTACCCGCTAGCCATATTGCCTCTTCTATGCTTGTCAGCTTCAAGAGTCCTCAGTTGGATGTATTTCCGGAAAGTCAATGATCGGAGTCAAAATGGCGGCCTGTTCGTGACGAAGGAGCGGGAGATGATGCCCGGGGATCCAAATGCAATAGTGAGCTCCCTTTGTGCGTAAATAGATGAGCTCCGTGTGAAATGAGCGTGTCGACTGCGGTGTTGCTTGATGCTTTGATGCTGCCCGTGATGCAGACGCTCCATGATGAAGTTGGGATTACATAAGCAAATATCCAACCCCCAAGCTTATCTTGAGCCTCTCATTGGTCAGGACAAAGCTCCTGTTTTTGAGGTTCGATATATCTATCACCTTGTTTACCACCACTTCAAGACGTAAAGAAGTCCCCCAAGTCTACAAGACTGGGTGTTATAACATCTGCTATCAAGCTCATATTTCTATAACTTACCTATACAGCTATTGTCTCTGAACTGCCGTATCTATCTCCTCGGAGTAAACATTTTGTCTTCGGAGTTGTCTGGCCCTACACTCCGACTTCCTATGGAGTTATCCGGCTACTCTAGTCAAGTTACTTAAGGGTGAACAAACAGTTAGTTAGGCATTAAAAGTTATTTCATTGTCTATATTTCATGTCCGGGTGCAAGTGCGTCTCTGACCGTCTAGCTAGAGGTCTCAATCGGCTCGAAGTATGTCATCATGATTCCCTCCAGCAATGGCTTCGCAACGGTCTTCAACGCGGCATGGGCCTTGCAGTCGTTGTCATAGAACTTCATGTCATCCTCGCTGGCAAACTCAGACACGACAGCGAGGTTGAATCCCTGACGGCGCTGGTCCTCGAAGGTTGACCCCGCCTTGACGGAGAGGATATAAGGGGCACCATCCTAGTAGCATCCAGACTTGATTAGCCATGTTCTTCCCTGGATATGGAATGTGAGATGTTCCCCCCGTGGAATCATCATATCAACTAGGCCTCTCCTTAGGCCGGGAACCCGAAACAAAAGTCCCGTGCTTACCTTGAGAGCATCCTTCTGCATTGTGCGGTACAAAGCAAGGACGGTCTTGCGATCCTCCTCCTTGGGGATCTTGAAAAGGGTAACACGGCAGATAGTCATGATGGTGGTGGTGGTGGTGAGGATGGAGGGTGGGTGTGCTGTTCTTCCGGATGAGTCCTGCCTATACCAAGTGGTCGACGAAGCTGGATCGCAGGAGTTGCAAGAGAAGCTCTTCTGTCCCTCTCCAAGGCCCCTCCCCCTCTATTATTATCGTCCCTCCCCCCTCTATAATGGGTTACCTAAGTCTCTCCTTCCCCTTGCCAGCTGCTTTTTCTTCCGCCCGCGGAAATTATCCGATACGCCGCTTATTACCGGCTTTTGGGGAAGCTGTCATCACGTGAGAGGCTCTCCCCAAAGAGGAAACGAGCTATTATTATTATAATACTAATAACCACTCGCTCTTAATGGAGTAGTGGCCCTAATATCGCTGTTGTTTGAGACGGCGATGCTAATGACTATCCATACATACGACTAAACTGGATCCCCGAATAGACCACCGGTTTGTTTTTATGATACCCAATCATTTATTTTACGCCCTGACCGGCAGTTGGCCATGGCCGCTTATGGCTCCCCAGGTTCCTTTCTTGTTACAGCCTGTTATACCCAGAATATGACCAAGGGCATCTGCACGTAAGCTCTGACGGTTGTGGTTTCTGGACACCGTTACTTGCGGAATCGACTCTCGCCTTTTGAAACTGTGGAACTTGCCCCCAGAGTTTAAATCTGACAGTGCTGGCGAACATGTTCAAGTCACCAGAGACATGGAGCATGGCTGTGTTTAGGAACGTCAAGTATTCCAGACAGTGATATTCGTCAAAAGCAGGTGTTCAGACACTCGGAAATCCTACGTGAAGGGCCGATATTTTTTGTCGTCAAGCGAATGCCTTGGACTACATTTCTGTCTGTCTGTCCTGTACCTACGACTAAGGGTTGCCGCCTAAGCATGAGTTTCCTCGCCGCTGGGATAGGATCTGGGGAACCTGGACGCCCACGGATATGAAGCTGTCTCGTCCTCATAAGCACGTTACTCCGTAATGTAAACGTAATAATACGAAGCGTAATGTGTGAAGATCAGGGAAAATCTGATGCGACAAGGTGATCTAAAACGGTTTCCAGGATCCAATTATTGACAGTCTATCGACTGAACAAAACAGGTTGAATCCAACACTTGTTTTCATCCCATCCCTTGGATGTAAGCGACTTTAAGTTCCTTCTACGCTTCTCTGGCCTGTCAGCTTTCCTCAACCCCGAGAGCCTCCCCGGAACCCGCAGCAAAGAAAGGCCGGCGCGAAGCTAAGTTACCTATTAAGCATCCCTGACATGACAGGCCGGGATAGCCACTCGAGAGCGAGAACCGCCGTTGATCTTATTCTTATTAACCGGCTAAACTGCATGTCGACTAACTCGAAGGCTTAACTGAGTAACTAGCTTTTGACACCGCCAACGATGACGTTGAAGCATCATGGAGCCTCTGAAGCACCCTGGTCCTGGTGGCTGCAATATAATAATAACTGGCCGGTGTCTCCCTTCTTGCGGATAGCCAAATTTGCGTGCTTCCCCTTCGACTTTCCTCTCCTCCGTTCGAACGTCTTCAGGCACGGAAAATACAAACAAGAAAATACCATACCCCTTGAATTGCCCGCGAGCCAATTGTTTACTTCCTTCCCTTCACTCATGTTCGCCTGCGTGCGCCTCAGAAACTCTCTCCCCTTCGGACTTTGCCGGTAAAAAAAAATCTATACTCGGTACATATAAATATATATGATACACATACGCCGCAACATCCACCATCGACTTCACCTCTGCGACCCTTCCACACAGTTCTCGGCTCTGGATGTTCTCATATCACTATCAGAAAAATGACGCCGCGTTTACCATGCTCAGTGACTTGGGGCCCGAGCTTTTTCGGTCCCGGCCACAGTCCTTGCGCACGCTCTACACGGCAGTCCTGGCGGTTGCTATCTACAATTGCCTGGAGCTCGTCCTGCTCATCTTCATGACTTTTAGCAAGTATGAAGGCCTCTACTTCTGGAGTCTCCTTCTGGCCACGGTTCCCGGAGTGTTGACGGACGCGGTGTTCCTGCTGATGTATTACTATATGCAACTGCCGGCTGCCATCGCCTTCGCCTTTGCGAGCATTGGCTGGTGTTTCATGATAACCGGGCAGGCTCTGGTCCTCTATTCTCGACTCCACATGGTCCTACATAGCCGGCTGGGGCTTCGGCTTGTGCTGGCGATGATAATATTCAGCGCCATCTTCCTCCATATTCCCGATGTCGTCACCGGGTTCGGGGCAATCGTCAACAATCCAGCTCGACACGAGTTCATCCGGGCTTTCCACATTATGGAGAAGATCCAATTGACCGGGTTCTCGGTGCAGCAGTTTATACTATCGGGTCTGTACCTGTATCTCGCTACCAACCTGCTCTCATTCGTATCCGCGAAGGCTCGTCGAAAGGAGCTACATCGGCTTATCGCAATGAACGTTGCTATCATTGTCATGGACGTTACCCTCGTCGTGTTTGTCTATTTGAACTGGTGGGTGGCCCACGAGTCGCTCAAGCCGTTCGTCTACAGCATCAAGTTGAAGCTCGAGTTCGCAGTTCTGCGTACATTGGTTTCCATGTCAAAGTCGGCTTCCACTAACTTGCCGGACTTCGTGGATCCCGATAGAATCCAGGGGGATGTGAGGTATGCGCCGTCAATACCAATGTCACGGGTACAAAGGCATCGACAACAGCATCTGACAGATTCAATGATATCGGAGGAGATTGGGTGGGACCAGACCAGTACAGCGCATACAACTAGTTCTACTTCGGAGCGTTTTATTGCCCCTGAACGGGCCGAGGACGAGACTCCTCTCCAATCCAACAATATGTACGTTTTCAATAAGCGATCGAAAACATACCCGTGAATGTGTTATGAAGAAATGAAACAATGTGCAACGTAATATTATCGAAGAGATGGACTAATTTACTTTCATATACCAAGTTCACGTTCAAGTCAAAGTTCGGACATCAACCACGGCATATCATGAGCTTCGCACAATCGATGAACCAACGAATGCACAACGACCATTAACCTTGATACAATGGCTTTGAACCCTCTGTAGTCCGGAATGCCTCTTCAAGGATGCTTAGCCCGTCCTCCAGCTGCTGCTGAGTTATCACAATTGGGGGCGCAATCCTCAGGCAGCCATAGAAGCTACCTTGCGAGGACAGCATAGCGGAAACGCCCAGCTCGAAAGCACGTTCGGAAAGTCGTCTGCCCAGATCGGTATCTGCCTTCTTGGTCTCACGGTCCGAAACAATCTCGACTCCGGCCATTAATCCACGACCACGTACGATGCCAATACAGCCATATCGAGACATGAGACGTTCCAGTCCTGCATGCAACAGCTTTCCAAGAACTGCTGCCCTTTCTACCAGGTTATCTCGCTGGATAATCTGAAGTACTTTGAGGCCAACTGCGGCAGGTAAGGGATCGTTAACATGGGTGGTATAGAACAGGAAGTCAGCAGCGTCCGCCAGACCTGCTATCCTGTTACTGGTTATTGTTGCGGCTAGCGGGAGACCGTTACCCAAAGTCTTACTCAGGGTCAGGATATCCGGGACGACTCCATGATAGTTTGAGGCTATGAGGTCGCCGCAACGTCCCATGCCAGTTTGGGCCTCGTCAACGATCAACAACATCCCTCGTGCTTCACAATGAGCTTTCATAGCTTTCATATATCCATCCGGTAGCGTTATCATGCCTCCGGAGGACAACACCGGCTCCATGATTACGGCGGCCAGCGATCCACAGGATTGTTTGTCAACCAGAGACCAACCGTAATCCAACTCCGTTTTCCAATCGTACGAGCCGTCTGGATGACGGAAGATCGAGCGATACGCGTCCGGAGCCGGTAGCATGAGGTTTCCCGGCATCTATATTTCCCGTTAAACGTTAGAAGTGATTGACAAAGGGCGAGAGTAAGAGGCTCATTACCACTCACCGTTGGTCCATATCCTGCCCTGCCATTCCAATACTGAGCCCCATTTGACCCGAACGTCATACCGTGCCAACTGGCCGCCAAACCAACAATCTCAAACTTCCCCGTGACGACCTTTGCCAACTTGATAGCACACTCGTTGCTTTCGCTACCTGTGCTTAAGAATATGGCTTTGTCTAGTCCCTCCGGCAGGGCTTTGGTCAACTGCATCCCCAACTCGATGACGGGCGGAGATACCATGCTACTATACACATGGTCAAGCCCGATAGCATGCTTGGTAATAGTCTCGACGATTTCAGGGTGTCCATGTCCGATCAAACAGGACATTTGACCCGACGTCCAGTCCAGTACCTTTTTGCCTGATGCCGTCCAGAAGTAGATGTTCTCCGTCCGAGTGACTACCTCGGGTAGGAATTTGGAGCCATATTTCAACAGGCAGGTGTCGGCGTCTTTGAGGAGGGCGGCGTTGTCGACTTGTTCAGGCATAACTATCTCCTTGGGGAGTACTGTATATATAGTGGTATTGAAGATTAATGTCTAATAATCCTATTCTCGACCTTGATAATTATCATACCCTTTCCCGAGGATAATAGGTATTTATACTAGTAAGCTAATTCTATGACAATTTCGTATACCCGTTGGAGGAGCCGGGCATCCTACGCCTAGTGTGCGGAGAAGTAACCGGGATTTTATGACCAAATTGAGCCTAGAAGCGTTCATGGCAGAGTACTTTGAGCATAGACTTTCAGTTACTCCAATGACTGTCTGGCGCTGTATGCGTGGCTAAGTTGGGCGATATGAGCCCGTGCCAGCCAAGTGTTACTCGTCTATTTGGCAGGAGATACGAAATGACTAAGGATGGGACGAGATCTAGAATCCCCGGTTGGAAGGATGGATGCGGAAAGGTCGGGAGATAGATATATATATACGGACGAACTTGGACCGAGGAATCAGGCGTGGATAATTTGATACAGATATAACCAAGAACCAAAAGGATTAAGACATGGGAGGAAGACACTGGGGTTTAAACAGGAAGTAATGGAGCAAAGTACAGCAGCTATACAAGCAGGGGCGAGTTACGAGTTCACAGCAGTACGGACAATGGGAGGCGATAATCGCATTATCTTGCCGATTGGTATAAAAAAAGTAGAAGATAAGAATGTAGGAGTGTCCTCCATGCTCTTTCACTAGGCCCAATGTCAAACTGTTTTTTAAATGTAATGGGTATCAGTAGTTATTTAAGCACCCTCTCGGCTCTTGCGGTAGTTTGCCTGTTTGCAAATTAGTTAGACATATTACGGCTGGAGATATTACGGCTGGAGATATTACGGTTGGAGATATGAAGAGAAGCGGGTCATACCTCTTGCTCGACCTGCAGGCCATCAACGATGGGACCAAGTTCGCTGAGGATCTCATAGGCCTTCTTGTGGTATTCAAGCTGGGCGGCAATCAAATCGGCCAAATTGCGCAGTGGCTCAGGGGTATCAATGACCTGGGATATAAGTTAGAGCTTCGAGTTATGTCACGTTACACAGCGTGATGGGAGACTCACGTTCTTCATTACGCCAACTGCCTCCTCGGTCTGTCCGACAAACTCGTCCTCTGCCTGCTCAATCTCGGCACGAGCATCTTCACTCAAATGGTCCATGTCCTTGGTGGCACCCTTAGCAGCCTTGGTTGAGTCAAGCATAAGTCTTGAGTTTTCGACATTTCTTCTGGCCTTGGTAGCGAACATGAGGTTAGTGTTGAGGGTTGTGTTCCATCCAGCAAGGAAACGAGACTGGATCTGAGCATCCTGAGCCAATCGAGCCTCTCCGATCTTTTCAGATGCAAGAGCGAACTTCTCTAGGCCAACTGCCAATTGGTCTTCGGTGCCAGGGGTGTTGGCCTCGACAATGGTGTGAGAGCTAGCAAGAGCAGCGCGGGCAATGGCATGGCTGAAAGTTTTTGGCTGCGGCTTTGCGGACGGTGGGGCAGTCAGAGCAGACTGTGCTTCTCCCGGGGACGAAGCCTGGGACAGAAGCTGGACTTTCTCGCTGATGGTGCGGCCGAGGTCGTTGAAGGATTCGCGGATGTTAGGTGGGTAGTCATAGGCTTCGTTCGAGTATTGAGAGCTGCAGATTGGATACGAGGACAGGTTAGCTTTGTGGAATGAAGCACATGGACATCGCGTGGGGAACGGGTATGCAGGGTAAAATAATAACAATATACATAGAGTAGGTGTGCGGGTTCAAGTCATGGGGACAAACAAACGTACGTGACCTGGAGGAGCTTCTGGTGGACAGCCTTTAGAGCATCGACTCGCTTCTCGAGCTCGAGGTAGTCATTTGGAAGTTGAGTCTAATCATGCCAAACGGCCATGCGCCGAGGAGCGTATATTAGCGGATTGCTCAGTTATAAGTTGTGATGGTAGAGCATGGTGTAGTTAGGCAGTGGTGGAAGCAAGTACCCTCTCCTCAGCTTGGCCAAGCTGCTCCTTCACATACTGCTGTGTTCGGGCAGCAAAGGGACTGAACGTAGCACTGTAACAAGTCTGCTATCAGCTGTTGATCGGACCAAATGGGCAGTTGGTAAGGGGTGAATGTGAATGTCTTGCGCCTGCACCGCTGGCCACCGCGTACGGGAACTATCAGGGTTGGCTAGATAGGGACAACATACGTGAAGTTCTTCCCGAAGGCTTGGACTTTATCCATGGCTGCGACAAGGCTCTCCGACTGGAGCGCGTGCAAGTATCGAAGAAGAAGAAAGAGGACTAGATATCCTCTGCCGTCTGACAGTCCAGATGGATTCGATGACAAGTTGTTGTTTGGTTGTTTTCGTTGTCTTTGCGAAGCTTGTGAAAGAAGAGCGAAAGTCGCAGCAAACGTCAGCAGGAGAGGAAGCTGACTAAGCTGCTGCCTCCCCATTACTACATACGACGGCAACTCAAGGGAGGTTATTAGATTAGATTATACTAGGCAACGGGAATGCTTAGAGAGGTGCTTCAAAAAGGGTTTAGTTAACTAGCGGGTACTAGGCAGGTATTCTAGGACACAAAATAGGATGCTTAGCCCGAGAGATAAGAATTTGAAAGGGTTAACCAGCCAAACAACCAGATGAAGTGTGTAGTACTCCGTAGCTAGTGATCAAATCTTCCCGTCCTTCTTTAGCTTAGAAACCGCCGCAGACCACCTTCTCTGAGCCAGCAGGCATTTTGCCATATAAAGGTCATATCGGAGGTCATCCCACTCCAGGGCTAAGTCGACATTGTAAGCCTCATCGCCCGAGTCCACGCAGTCCGAGAATTTGGTATTGAGTCTAGGATATGCGTCGTAGATGGGTGCTCCTGATTCCTTGATCCCTTTTGCAGGCTTGGGAGGCCTAAAAAATGTCTTATAATGAGAATCAATATCCGTCAGTTGAATCAGCATAAGACAAAGTAATTGATTTCATAGTACTTACCACTCTCGGAGTCCTTGTAACCACCTTCCCAGTCACAGGATCCTTCCCAAACACTTGAACTGCAGCAGTCAATTCACCTACCCATTGAATGTCGTATAAGACCACAGGACTAAACCATTCTCGCCCGGCGCAGTATTGATAAGTAAGTCGCTCAGGTTTCTCAGTGCTCGCTTGCATTGCAGCTTTGCATATTTCGATGTTCTGTTCCTTCCTCAGTGGATTTTTATAACTTGGGCTCTCCTTAATGTCGACCAAAATTCCGATCTTTATTGAAGTCTTTTGCAAAAGTTCTTTAACCTTCATCTCCAAGTCCAAACTGGGCTGCGAGAACCCTACTTCCATTGCAGGAACTGGAGTAAACTCTGCCTCTGAATGCCACACCATCTGTAAGTCGGGGTTGGATATGTCGTCATCAATTTCTGTCTCGCCCAGAAATGAGAATCGTCTGGGATGTCGTGGCATGAGATTTGCTAGCTGATTTGAAACATTACTGATGACACACTCGTGGATAGATACCTGTCTATGCTGGATAACGGTAGTGTGGAATGCTTTTCAAATCGTAGAATAGCTGATTGACTCTTCCTATATCCCAGAGTAAGCATTGGTACATAATGGTAGTAGAAAAAGGAATACAAACTTGTTTGGTGACTTTTCAAAAGCCTCAGAGAGACTCTTGTATTCCGCCCTGCTAGTTTTAATCGAGATCACTTCGCCAGAAAAGTCAGCAGGAAAAATTCCACGAAACAATTGGTCTCGCTGCTCCTAGCTCAGGAATTCATCATCCGTTGGCATATCCGCCGCTTTGGCAGTGTCAGGGGTATAAAACCGGAGACAACATGGTCCTGCAGTTACACTCAAACCATGGCTCACCCATGAAGAAATGAGAGGCATATAAATACATGGAGGCCTTGCATGGAACAGTAAAAACGACTTATTTGAGCTCAGCCTGCAAGTTTGAGAGATAGCTGAGCGTAGAAACATCGCTGCAAGGAGATTTGACCAGAAGAGATAGAGGTATAATGTTGGACCACAAAGGACAAAAAGGCCTAATGGCCCAAGGAATCCTTGGGTAATGAGTGCGAGTTGTAGCTAAAGTGGAGTATTCCAACATATAATAACAGACGCCCTTTGATACCACGAAGATGCTGTTTATATATATCTGGCTCAGATATAAACAGTTCTTTGTAAACTTGGTATAGGGCCTACGTAGTATTCAAGCAGAGCAACGTCCATCAAATTGCAAAGATTTGAAGGAGTCGCTTTTGCTACTTGTCAAAGTCACTCTTTTGGAATATATACCCTTGGGGTAGTGAATGTCGTCATTAACTAGCTCCTCTCGAGGGCTAGTTAGTGGCAAAACACATGATTGTAGCTTCACCTGGGCAAGGAGGCACGCCTTAGTGTCCAAATTGACAAAGGAGCTTGAGAGAAACAGGTATAAAACTGATAGACGATGATGATGATGGCTGGATACCTAGTAGGTAGCCCCCCCCCCCGTACAAGTAACAGTGCGGCTGCTTGAAATCCCGGGTTCCTACAGCTGATATTTAGTCTATGACGCTAGTCCCGATTGGGACGCCGGTGAGAGTGGCTATCAGATGTGAGTTTGTATAGACATTAAGAAGCATCTGGTTGACTGGATTATTATTATTGATAGATGTCACTATTTAGATCAGAGTACTATACACGGGTCTATGTATGTTTGACACAAGCCTGAGTTGTCCGTAGTTTGCTGTTTCATGTGCGGGCCGTCATCCTCGAGAAAACTCCACGAAGCATAAGCATAACAAGCGTAAAGAAGCATAACGTGCGTGAGTAGATAACATAGGAGAGACATAAGAGATTAGGAGATACAGAAAGAAGGAGAGGAAAGCAACGTATTCCAAGATGCGCGCAGATAGATAGACAGTAAGATGATATGCACGTAGATAGATAAATAGACAGTAAGAAGAAAACTGGAGACTGGACTGCTGATAAGATGGGTTGGTAGATTCTGTGAATGTGCTGTGAACTGTGTGTGAGAGAGATCAGGTAAGGGTGGCCATCATAGCACGAAGAAGTCGAGGAGTCGGTGCTGTTAAGGAAGAGCCTGTTAGTGAGATGTGCTATGGTTGTGTTATAAACAGGTGGAATACACATACCCTTGTAGTCTCGCTTGACAACGACCTCTGGTGCTTCTACGGCAGCCACAAGGTCGTGGTGGTGTTGGTGGTAGGGCACCAGCAGCCGCTCTGGGTGGTCGTCTGCAACCTCGAGGACACGGATGGGAGACGAGCGTCGCCGGGTATGTCTTGGTCTGACTGGACGGACCTCCATGGGCGGAGACGGGGTTCTGCCTGCTCTGCGCCTGGATACAGACGGACGCCGCTCGACGGTCAGAGGAGTGTCTTTGGCTCCGATGATGACTGTCTCCTTTTCCCTGGCTCTCCGTGGAAGAGGGGCTACATAACACCACGTTAGTCCTCTTGTTTTATGCCTGGGATTTTCCTAGGGCCAACGTACCGCCTTCTCGGGCTCTTTTGCTGTACTCTACGAGCTCGTGGATACGGTCGTTTGTGAGGATCTTGTAGATCAGGATATCCTCCTCCTGATATCACCGTTAGCTCCAGGCAGACATGATGAGAAGAAAAAAAAAGAGGAGGGAAAGCGGCTTACATATTCCTCGTAGTCATAGCCAAGATCCTCGAGGGCGACCGGCGCAACCATATGCTTGGGTATCCGGGTCGTCCCCGGCTTGGGGCTTGCCCGTCTCGACTTTGCGCGGGGCGGTGGTGGTGCTTCCAGCATGGCTGCGCTGGAGGACCGTCTCCCCCGCGGGGTGATGCTTCTGGCCGGTTTTATGTCAGGGACGCGAGTCGAGATTTGCTTGCGGGGAGTGACTGGCGGGCCGTAGTCATCCCTATCGTATCGCCTGTAGTCATGCGAACGCTTCGAGGCCGCGAGGTCGAACCGGTCCAGCGAGGACTGGCGACGCAGCAGCGTTGGCCGTCGAAAGTCTCGATCGTCGCCGGCTCGGATGGGAGAGATGTCTGGCCGCCGTCTGCTGCCGCCGCTGATGCTTCTGCTTCTGTCCGGGCGGATGACGGGGACGAGGTGGGTGTTCTGCGTGTCGTTGGCGGCGGGCTGGACGATGTCCGGGATGCCGCTGAAGAGCGACCGCCTGTCTCTGCGCACGTCGCGGTCATCGTCGACCAGCGTCGCCGTTCCTCTGCGAGGGCGCATCTCTCTGTACGGGCCTGGCTCCTGTCGTGCGTCTCGCTCCTTCGTGAAGCGTTCTGCATCCCAGCGCTGGCTTGCAGCGCCGCTCCCTGTTGAGCCAGACATGTGGACCAATGCAGTCGTGCGTCTGCCGTCGACTAGCTAGCTAAGGATGCGTCCGTACGAGTTATCAGCGCGCTCAAGACACGCAGCTCGAGCTGCTCAGCTGGTGAATGGATGGTCGAGTAACGGTGGCACGGCTCGTTCCGTGATGCTTTCTGCGTCCGTCTGGTAGCTTTTTCGGTCTCTCCCGTGGATGGATCAAGAGGTCAGCGGTCGACCACACCTGGCAGAGCAGATGATCCTGGCGAAGGAAGAAGACGAAGACGATGCCGAAGAGGAGGAATATAACGAGGAAGAGGAAGCGGACGCTGAAGCTGCTGGAGCAGAGGAAGAAGAGAGAAGAAAGTGGCGACAGCCTTGTTTCCCGTCTTCCCTCGTTAGTTATGATGGCATCAAAGTCAAAACATCTTCAGCTCGGCTAAGGAAGAGATAAGTAATATTGACAGTAATAAGTGATAGTAATAATAGTGTGTGATATTCTCTGCTGTCGCAGTCTGGGTGTCTGTCTCTTCTCTTCCCTCCAGCCCGCGATGCCAGCAGCAGTATATATAGCTTCCTCCCAGGCAAAGCAGCTTCAACCACCGACCAACCGCCCGGCGTCCCTGGTCCATCTCCATCCTTACCCTTGCCCTTGCAAAGAAAGCCAGGTGAAAAAGCAAAGAAGCACGCAAGAAAAGAAGAAGAAAAGAAGCAAGCAAAACCTCCTTCTAGCCGCTGGCCAAGCTCTGTTTCAGCTTTAAAAAAGAACAGAAAGACGGGCCTTTTCATGCCAAACTGCCAAACTATCAAATAATTTCATGCCTTGTACATGGTGTCTGCTGGAGTTACCTACCAGCCGGCGTCTCCTGGCCCCCAGACTGACCCAGCAGCGACTGACAGCCAATTGATTCTGGCTTTCTGCGTCTCTTTCAGACAGGAAGGGGACTCCTGGGATGCTTCATCTCCCGGTCCTGCTGCTTGAGTTGCCAATAATAGCCTTGACCTGTAACCAAACGTCCAGAGGGGGAATAATGGCCATTCTATGATGATTGACCCTTTCAACACGTCTTGCTCCTTTCGCGCCCGGCAGGTGGACAGGTGGATGATCTCCTGGGCCCTGCAGTGGTTAACTAGCAACTATTGCCTGCCCCAGCTTGGGCCGGTTGGCTGGTTGGCTGGCCGGTTGGGCATGCATAGCACAGAGCAGGAGCAAGAGCAAGAGCAGCGCAGGTGGTAGGCTGGCCCCTGAGAAGCCGATGCTTAGAGGTCGCCACCAGTACCAGTACCAGCACCAACCAGGCCATAAGCTACCATAAGTATATGCTTCATCTTGGCCGGCTGTTGGTGCTTTTGCCCGGATCGAGCCGCGTGGTGGCTTTCCCTTGGTCCGAGAGATACAGAGGAACTGGTCTATGAGATCATCACACAGGGCTTACGGAGTATACACTTAACCAGAGCATGTACGGAGTAGTCGGTGATGCCTCTTCCCCGGATACATGCCCAAGAGGACACCATAGCAGATTAAACAAACGCCTTCTTGATTCCTGCCGTCATTATCCGTAAACGGTGTTTCGTTCTAGAAATACAGTGTGTGGGGATAAGATATATCAAAACCTCTGACGTCTTTTGTTTTCTTCTTTTCAAAACAAAAACAGGCCTAGTCCTGCAAAGATGGCATATCTTATGCCGGCGACGTCCCAGCTACTGGCATTCCTCCACGTTGGTGCATTACTCTTCGACGACTTTATAGATACCTGTGGTTTGACGGTGCAGACGGGCTGCTTGACCGCCGTCTGCGTAGCTGCTGCACCGCCAAAGTCGCAGGCGGTGTGTCCGTTTCCTCTCTTGAGTTGTTCCTCATAGTACGTGTTGAATGCCCAGGACAGCTGGTCTATCGGGCTACACATCCCGTACATTCCATACACGCCGCTCGTTGCGTTGGAGGCGATTTCTTCACAGGCCATAGGGGAAAGCCCGCACACGGTCGAAAAGAGTCGAGACAGGTCCTCGTCGGGTACAGTAGACTTGGCTCGGCAGGTGATGGACCTCGTCATGCAGTCACAGAGCTCCCTGTCCGGCGTTGGGGGCAGTTTTGGCGATGCTTCCCAGACACCACTGCTTACGGTAGGGCAGGGGGCATTCTCCGTGTTCACTGGTGTGTAAGCAGCCATTTTGGGCCCCTTGGGGCTCACCTTGGCCATCTGGTTCGCGAAAGCAGTAAAATCCGGAAGCTTCTTGATCCCGGATCCAGATACATCGACAAGTCCTGCATGCAAAAGCCTTAGTAAGATGGGCCGCTTTTGAGTTGTCTCTGCGCAAAAAGAGAATGATATACACAAGGGGCTGAGCTTGTTTTATGTGCGTTGCTTACCATAGTTGTTCTGTTCTTGGAAATACATGTAGACAATCCCGCCGGACCAGACACCTGTCATCTGGGGGCCGTAAATCGCCTGCACCTCGCTGAACCTCCGGGGTTGGATTGTATTGCATCCATATTCCGCAAAGAACACCGGAACATTATATTTAGCAAACTCTTTGGTGCGGTCTGCGTATCCAGATGTCTCAAAGGTAGAGTCACCACACCACTCGTAGATATTATAGCCCCAAAAGTCAATACGCTCGTCATCTATGCCGCAGTCAAAGTACGCAGCAAGGTTCCGTCGAATATCTGCATCGTCATCAGTCGCATACCCAATGCCCATCTGTCGATATCCCTTCTCGTAGATGTAAGCCTTCATGTCTCGGACCGCAGCCTTCACAAAGGCACTGACATCCGTCGTGGAGCGGTCGTTAGTAACTTCATTCCCTGCGAAAAACCCAATGACATTCGTATACTTCGCCAGCGAGTCAATCACGGACGTGTATCGATCATAGAGCTTGACATCCCACTCGGGCGTGTCACGGTTGATCGACTGGGACGGCTCGGCCAGGTCAGCCAGGACGTAGATACCGGCATCGGCAAACAGCCGCATGCATTCGTCATGGTTCTTTTCAGGATGGATGGCATACACCCGGACTACGTTCGCGTGTAGCTCCTTGAGGAGAGGAACGTCTCTCCTGCATCCCTTGGGGTTCGCAAGGGGGTCATTGTATGAGTCGACAGTGTTATCGCTGTCTATCAAACCAGAGGTAACGGGTATTTCAGTAAGTTATTCACATATGTCAGCTCCCACGCCCATCTCCAAGCATAGAAAAGTACCTTGATACGCCACTCCTTTAATAAAGCTAACCTTAGTAGTTAGCTATCGGTATGTGTTTAAGTAGTAAGTGTTAGCTCGGGGACTGTAGAGGCGCACAACTGCTGACCACTGGTCTTGTAAAAGAAACGAGATCCCTTTTTTCGCACGATATCAGCGGCTGACTATGTTAACCGTCTGGGCTAGGGTAGTAGAACATACTTTGATCACAATGGGGTCAAGATCCGCGGCGAAAACAGGGAGAGCCCAGCAGGCTGCCAGTGCAACAGAGAGAATAGTCTTCAAGGGCCCCATGATGGATACCAAATATCGTTGTCCAGGAAATGATATCCAGTATCATACATACAAAATTCGCTCAGGGGAAAAGCGGTTGTAAGACGGATGTGTATTGATTGACAGCATTGTGATCCATCCATGATGAAGGGCAGAATTTGATATATTTTGACTGCAATACACATAGCAGGAGTAACCTGGGAAAGTAGAACCCTCCCTTCAAGTCTGTTTATATCAACATGTTGCCATGGTAAACACTCAGCACACTACCGTCACTTCCCCCTTTGACGGTCACATAAATTCTTGGGTATAAAATTCGTCATTGTCAAAATACTACGGAGTACTTCTCTGTGTCATAACTAGTCTATAACGGTAGGTATTGACGATAGATAGGCAAGGAAACCCTTGCTCTCGTAGAAGGATGCATCCACAGAAAAAGCTGACGAGCACGGCGTTCGATAGTAAGCTGGGCAAGAGTGATGGAGCAAAAGTGGCACTCGCACAAAGGCCCCAACATAAAGATATATGCCGGGCACCTCTCCCAAGTAGCGCCCAATATCACATATCAATTCCCAATGCCCGAAAATCTTGCTGTCTGACGGTGGTTGATGCCAGACGTCTTCGTGCCCAACGCCTCCTGCCAGGCTTAGAGGAAGGAGGAAGGTCGACCAGCGAACCTCGGCTGGACGAGAGAAACACTTACGTAATAATAAACATGCCAAGAAATGAAAGACTAAAGAGGAAGGTGTGAGCCCCCACTTTCACGCCTTGGCGCAATGTGACTATGTAATATAACCCCGCGGTAACGGCAAACATAAAGTGGGAGGTCGGATTACTAATTAAACTTCCGGTTCTTCCGCAGGGAATATCAAACTTCAACGTCAACTTCACCGGTTTGGACATCGAAGCTATAAAGGGGATAAAAGGAGGAAGATAACTGACTATATTAACAGTTATCCTTCCAGACTACTGTTATTTGCCCTTAAATATTTACCCTAGCTTACATTGTGTTGTCATTACACTCTGTACCTGCGTCTTCTATCTACAATTGTTGACCATTCCAATATAGAGCACCACCTACTTATGAAAACTATTGCTATTATACCCAGTATACCTCATTCAAGATGGCAGAGCAACAGGTTGCGTGGATTGGACTGGGGAACATGGGAAGGGTATGGCAGTCTTTCTCTTTTTCTCCTGCAATTGTTATGTCCAGAACAATTTATATACCCATACCCATATCCATCCGTTTTTCCCTTCACCAGTTTTGCAGTTAGAATGTGGTGTATTCAATGTATTGTGGAGACGCTTTCCTATCATCAGACGAAGGAAGTGTCTGCATACCATGGTGCTGGGCTAGGCGGCCGTCTGATCCGCCTGAGGTTCCTTATGGACGACCTTAAGCTTCCTTCCAGCATCTCAGGAAGGGTGCGTGGCGCAGTGGTCATTGCAGTTGCTTTGCCACTGCACGTCGACTCCACGCTCACAGCCCTCTAAGTGTAGTGCCGACGAAGTGCCAAGGAGAACCTGCGTCCTGAATCGCTACGGATTGCTCGGGGATGTGGCTGCCATGGACAGGTCGTAAAAATTCGACCCTACATGGTAGCCACAGAACCGTAGCATACGTAATGAGAGGTGAGCACCTTGTCTGCTCATTTCGAACCTTTTTTTTTTTTTTTTGATATTTTTTTGTTTTCCTCTTGCATACCTTTTGGGTCGCAGACTTGGGGATGGTGTGAAAGGCGTCGAGGTAGACGCAAGTTTGGAACGCCCCGACAGCCTGGGTTCGAACCTCGCTGGCTGCTCTTTTTTATTTCCTTTTTTATTTTTATTTCTTTTCTTACCTTCGGCTTTCCACCAGTATTTCACCAGTGACTGCCTCTACTGCTGCTAACCACCTAGGTACTTTCTCTAGGGCATGGTCAAGAACCTGGTTGAAAAGGGCCCTCTCTCCAAGCCGCTGATAGTCTATAACAGGACGCAATCCAGAGCTATCGACCTTGCAAAGACTCTGTCCCAGCAGATAATCCCAGTATCCACTGTCAAAGAGGCGGTGGAACGCTCTACTATCATATTCATCTGCCTTGGTGATGACCCTGCTGTCGAAATTACCATCGATACTGCAATGAACTCAACAGACGTCAAAGGTAAACTGTTTGTTGACTGCTCTACAGTTCACCCTGATACAACCAGGCGTCTGGCCCAGCTCCTCGAATCTGCAGGTGCTTCCTTCACTGCTTGTCCTGTATTTGGAGCGCCGTCGGCCGCGGAGGCAGGTCAACTTGTCTGTGTTCTTGCCGGGCGCAAGGAATCCGTTGACAGGGTCAAGCCATTCTGTACCGGCGTGATGGGCCATGCCATCATCGATATGTCTACAACATCAGAGGACCCAGGAAAGGCATCCATGTTAAAAGTCCTTGGCAACAGCGTGATATTCCGGATGGTTTCTGCAGTTTCTGAAAGCCTGGTTGTTGCTGAGAAGTCTGAACTTGGTGTCGATGCACTACATTCCTTCCTTGAACTCGTCTTCCCAGGGGCAGCTGTGGCTTATGCGAACCGGATGATATCTGGCCTGTATCACACACTAGAGGAACCCCGTTTTGCAGTCGACTTGGCGCAGAAAGATACAAGGCATGCCATGGATATGGCGAAGGCTGTAGGCGCCAGGATGAAAGGGGTGGAGGTGCTGGATGAAGCATTGCAGGCTGCCAAGGCTCGTTCAGGAGCAAAGGGAGATTTGTCTGCCATCTACGGTGTCGCAAGGGAGGATGCTGGGTTGAAATTTGAGAACAATTAGGCGGGGTTAAGACAGGGTATAACCGAGAATTCTTTCGGGATTAATGAATTAGTGAATTATTCTATTTGATAATTAACTAGCCAGCTAGGTGTTGTATATACTTGTGGGTATCCAAGTATCCGCCACATAGAACTTAGACAGGACGAAATGTCCGTAGGAGCAGCGTCTGCTGCTGTTGAGATCCTTGAGAGGCTATGTCCTCGGCCTCTTCCATGGCAAAGAGTAGAGTGCTAGATCGAACTACGAATTCTAGTATAATGTGAGTAAAATGAATACCACAATAAAGTGTTAAAAGTAGTAGTAGACTTACCATCAACCTCAATCGTGTAGTATACTATGGACTCCGCTAGGTTGCCAACTCCACGAAGGATCCCGCAACTAGCCACCTCCCTAGTGCTGCCAATATGCAAACTCAGCCCAGAATTCATCTTTGGGTCCACCCATCGAACATCCTCCTCAGTCAGGGAATGATCATCTTCATCGTCAAGCGGATGATCGTCCGAATCAGAGTCACCCTCGTAAGGGTCAGTGAAGTGTCGCGGTGCTTCCAAAATGGGCTGCTGAGCAAGCCAGTCTCTCCGAAGCCGGACCACACCCTTGGAGACTTTAACGCCAGAAGGTATCCGGTCACCAAAGAGCTGAGCATTCACACAGACTTGCGAGAATGGCTCTGCAGAGTCCACGAGGAGCCTGAAGGGCGTAACTCGGCCCTGGCTTATGGAGCTTTTGCGCGGAGGCCTGAAGCCTGTCTTACTGGCCTTGTGCTCGCCCAAGATACCCCCTATTCTCCCTGAATCCTCGGCCTGGTCGTCTACCGTGAAGATCTTCCAATCCGGCGAAATTCGCGATTCAAAATGCTGCATTACCTTGAACCGAGTGTATTGCTCTCGTAGAACCCCTAGGTCGCCAATTGAGAAGACATGCTCAAGGGAGAGTAGCCCCTCGAGCTCTTCAGGGTGTTCGCTGGGGTTATGGGGCAATGTTCTGGTATCAAGGTATGTTCCTATTGTGCGTCCCTGCAGCGCAACTCTAGAAGGGAGATGGCAATCTAGTCGCAGCGTATAGTTCCCCTTCAACTGCCTGATAGCCGAAAGGCGGCGACTGAGTATATGGCAGATTATATTGTAGAACCGAGAAGAAACCTTCGTCCACGGCAAAAGCTCACGCGACGAGAAAGCTTCCAGGACGGTGATGAGAAGCTATAGATTCAAGGAGTGTTAGCTGTCCACTGTCCACTAGGCTGCTATGTCCTTCCATTCGCAATGGCTTACCTCATAAGGAAGAGTGTATATAGGTGGAGAGACGCCGCTAATAGACTCCATTGTCTGTTCGCTCCTTGGTTCCTCTGCTATTTAGCTAGATCAAAGACAGCACTTCGGGCTCCGAGCAGTAGTTCACCCACGTTAAAAAACAAAATATGACGCTGTGTGGAGAAATTAACGAAAGGAAGGGGAAAAACAGTTACCAGAGAGAGAGAGAGAGAGAGAGAGAGAGAGGAGAGAGACGCCAAAGCGAGTCGGTTAAATAGAAAA